CAGGTATACCGGGGGTTTCCAGGTATACCCGCAAAATACCCGGTATTTCGCCGATTTGGCTGATTTTGGGCCGGCCCCAAACGAGCCTCAGACTCGGGTCTCGGCTCAGAGCCCGGAAAATTTGATGGTTTCCCCGGGAAAAGAGAGAGGAAAAGAGAGGGTGCTGTAGAGAAAAAAGGAAAGGAAAAGAGACGGGGTGCGAGAGGAAAAGTATATTCAGCCTAAGCTGGGAGTGCTCCGCCGCCCGCGTCGGGGTCTTCTCGCACGGCGCCGGCGGCCTCCCCGGCCCGAGCTCCGCCGCGGCGGTCGTCACCGAGGCGAGGATCGCCGAGCTGCACCGTCTCGGCGTGCGCGGATTCGACCTCGACTGGTTTGGGAGAGGAGTGCGTAAATTTGGTGTTCATAATTTTAGTTTTTTCTTTTCTTTCTTTTTCCCTTGAGAAAACAAAAAAAATTTCGCGGGCCGCCGGCTCCACCGCCGCGGGTCCCCGGTCACCAGCCTTGCATCAGCGACACCTCGCTCTGACCTGGTCCCGCCATGGTCCTCTCCCCCGACCCCGTCGTGCTCGATTGGACGAGCATGGAGCGTGCGGCGCAAAAAGAGACGGACCCGAGCATACACAAGTATCGAGTGCGCTACGACAATGGGGCCAACGATCAGCCCCAAAAGGCGCGCCCACAGCCCAGTCATCACCACGCTCAGAGCAAAAATTCAATGCACGCTGCCTCCCGCCGCGCGAGAGCGCCCCCCCCCCCCCCCCCCGATGCGAGCCCCGCGGCCTGCAGGTAGTGCTGCACCTGCCGTGCAAGTGCTCGCCGGCGGAGGGCAAGCACCTCCTCACCTTTACCGTGCCGCCAAAGACAAAGCAGGTCGTGGTGAAGTGGGAGACGTCTGTCTGCACGCTCGTCTTCCCGCCCGCGGGGGAGGCGGAGAACGAGGGCGATAACGCAAAGGCGCCCACGCCGAGCGCGCCGGAGACGTCCGACGCAGTGCCGCCGCCCAATGCTGCGCCGCCGCCCAGCCCGCAGAAGCGAGCCTCGCCAGAGCCGGGGAAGCCAGAGCCGCTCAAGCCGGAGAATGCCAAGGGGCGGCTCGCGCTTGTGCCTGCGAGGCTGTGGCCGGACTACCCGTGCGAGGAGCGGGGCGGTCTGGGGTGGGAGGTTCGGATCCTCTCGGTCGAGAAGAAGACCGCCACCGTCGAGTTTCTGCACGCGAGGGACGAGCGCGGCAACATGTACGAGGACGTGTCGCTGCCGCTGCACGCGCTCAAGCCGCTGCACGCGGACGGGCGAGATGGGGAGGAGGAGGCGGGCAGGCCGGCGAAAGGCAAGCCTGCGAAGCGGCAGAAATAGGCCGCAGTGTGTGTGCTGGGTCGTGTGGGAGACATAGAGGGGGAGGGGTTGCGTGTGCAGTGGGGGAGGGAGGGGTGGAGGGGTGGGTCGTGTGATGCTGGTCGGTGAGTGGGCAGGGGCGCGGTTGGATGGGGAGTGCTCCTTGACCACTCGCGGCATTTATTGGGGCGAGTACACGTGGAGAGACGTGCACGCCGCGCGCGTACTCTCGTGTCCGCTCTCGCGGAGACCGCACGAAAAATCCAGAAAAAATCTGATGGAAAAATTAAAAACCAATCACTGACGGAGGCCCCTAATGCGTCGATGGCGGTTGGAGAAAAGCACAACCGCGATGGAGCGGACAACTGATGCAAGAGACAACTACCTTGCCCCCGGCCAGAGCAGGGCCACCTGCACGGCCAGCTGGTCCGTCTGCGACGTGGACGGGTGTGGGGAGAGGCCCATCGCCTCGTTGGCCCTTCGGATCGGGTCCACTGCTCCGTGCTCGAGCCCGAGCGCCGCGGCGACCTTTGCGATCCGCTCCAGAACGGCGGTGTCAAAGTTGGCGCCGCCTTCGTCGATCGGACTGCCGTCCTCGTCCACCAGCGCAGTCGGCTCCTCGGGCGGCGCCTCCTCCGCCGCAGCCGCAGAGGCGGCCGTCGCCGCAGTCAGCACCGTTCGCGCCGCGCGCAGTCGCAGCCTCGCGGCCCGCAGCGCATCCCTCTGCCTCTCCCCGGTGGGGTCGCCCTCTCCGACGGCGGCGGCGTGCAGGTCGCTGCGCGCGTGCGCCAAGTTCTCCTGCAGCGCCCACAGGGCCTGCGAGCTGTTGTGCGGCGCAGCTAGCGAGCGGTTGTGGAGGGTGGGCAGCGCGGCGGCGGTGTTCGAGAGGCGGGCGCACTCGCGCGCGAAGCGGCCGACCTGAGGTGGGGAGCGGACGCGCTCGCGAGGCGTGGCGGGCAGGGGTGGGTGGCGGGCAGGGGTGGGCAGGGACGAGGGCTCACGAGGCGTGGCGGGCAGGGGTGGGTAGGGACGAGGGTGCGGTGCCGCGCCTGTCCCAAAAAGGAGAGCTGGCCGCGCCTCTCGATCTCCTGCTCGAGGCCGCGCTGCAGCAGCGGAATTCCCTCCACCAGGTAGCGGCGGAGCCACGCCATGCCACTCGAAGCCTCGCGCAGCTCCAGCATCCACGCAGCGAGGGCTGCAGTGTCGTCGAGTGCACCGCGATAGCGGCTCAGCTGCTGCGCGTCATCCAGGTGAGCGATGGCGGGCGAGCCGTGGGCCACGAGGGTGGACTCGAGCAGCGCGAGCTCTGGCGCCGGCGGCCGCGACGCCAAGTCGATCAGCCGCAGCTCGGTGCCACCGCCTTTGCCGCCTACCTCTCGTGCACGCGCAACCGCAGCCTTCAGCGCGGAGCGAGTGTCCGACCACGACGGACAGCGCGCGTCGTAGGCGACCAGGATCTGCGCTGCCGCCAGGAGCGGGAGGTGTAGCAGCATGTTTGCGATCGCAGGAGGCGCAGGCGCGTTCACGCGAAGTCGAGGTTGCGTTTTTTCTCCGACCACGTGCCCAAAAGTGGGTGAATGGGTAAACGCTTCGTAGGCCCCAGATCGTGGGTGGGTGGGTTGGGTGTCACGCGGGCTGGTTTTCTCTTCTTTCTTTCTCCCTTCTTCGCGCACGTCTTCGAAGCACACCTCTCGTCATTGCCACAGCATGTCGTTCCTCGCACCGTACCCACGCGACGGCACCAGCTGACCGAGATCGCGCTCCCCGATGGCTGCCGCGTGCCTTACGCGTTACGGGGCGGCTTACGGCGCGCTCAACAAGTCATCCGAGGGCGGACTGCTGTTACGCTCGACGAGTTGCGACGCCGCTCTGCAGCTCGAGGGGTTCAAACGCGAGGCGACCATCGTCTCCGCCGAGCTCGACGACGAGGCGGCCGTTATTATCTCCTGCCCTCGGGAGGGCGGCGGCGGCGGTGTAGAGTCGCGCGCTCCCGACAGCTCCCGATGACAAATATTCGCCTCACAGTCCAACACGGCTGCTCACACGCCCAGCCGTGCTCTGGTGCGTCGCTACCCTTGGGTCGCCTCTGCCACCGAGATGTCGAGGCCGGGGCGCACTCCATTCGACTTCTCTTGGGCTATTATCTGCCCTCGGGAGGGCGGCAGCGGCGGTGTAGGGGCGGCGGCGAGCTCCCGGTTGCAAATACTCGCCTCCCCTCACAGTCCAGGATGGCGACTCGCGCCCCCAACCGTGCACCAGCGTGCCACTCTAGCCCCGCCTGCCGCCCAGATACCGAGGGCAGGGCGCACTCTTCGACTTGGGCTATTATCTGCCCTCGGGAGGGCGGCGGGGGGCGGCGGCGTAGAGGGGCGGCGGCGAGCTCCCGCGGTTGCAAATACTCGCCTCACAGTCCAAGATGGCGGCTCGCGCCCCCAACCGTGCACCCCAGCATGCCTCTCTAGTCCCGCCTGCCACCCAGATACCGAGGGCAGGGCGAACTCTTCGACTTGGGCTATTATCTGCCCTCGGGAGGGCGGCGGCGGCGGTGTAGCGCGGCGGCGGCGAGCTCCCGCGGTTGCAAATACTCGCCTCACAGTCCAAGATGGCGGCTCACACGCCCAACCATGCTCTGGTGCGTCGATTGGGTCGCGTCTACTGCCCGTGTCTCTGTCTTATCGGCGCGACGACAACAACCTACCCCACACCCTAACCCTAACCCTAACCCTGACCCTACTAACCCTAACCCTAACCGGAAGAACTCGGGGAGCATGGTCACCGAGAGCTCGCGTCAACGGACCGCTGGTTCCTCCATTCCGACCCGAAGCGGCCCCTTCTTAGTGGAGCTGCACAACGGCTTGAACTCTCTGACCCTAACCCTAACCCTAACCCCAACCCTAACCCTAACCCTAACCCTAACCCTAACCCTAACCCTTGGCTGTGCTGTATAAGGCGCGCGAGGCTGGGTGCTTTGCTACCTTGCTTGTGTCTTCCGTGGCCGGGACGGTTGGTTGGGTGGTGGGGGTGGGTCGGTCGGTGTGGGTGGGTTTCCTCGCCTCATCAGCCGGGCCGTGAGGTGGGTGGGGCTGGGGGTGGGTGGGTGGTTCCAAGCCTCAGCCGGGCCGTGAGGTGGGTGGGTGGGTGGGTGGCTCAAGAAGCTCGTGCACGTGAACGGAGGTCCAGAGCGGCACGTGGTGTGAGAAAAAACGCAACGCGGCTGGGGCTATACCAAGACAGTTTGGCACGGGAAAACGGTAAACGCAGGAAGAATCCTGCTGGTTTAGGTGGGGACCCAGTCCTTCTCCCACCCCTCGTTTGGCGTATCCGATCCTTCTTTATTTTATCTCTTCACACCCCTCATTTGGCACGATAAAAATGCTAAATGGTATAGCGGGCGCCGCTAAAGCGAAGAAAAAGAAAACTGGAAAAGCGTAAACCGTCAAAACAAAGAGCGAGGCGTATAGACGGAACCGAGACAGACCTTAGACACTGATCACTGTGTCATATCACGCACCGCCCCCTCTGTTATTTCGCCGCTCTGAGCTCTTCTGTGTACTTGTGTGACTGTGTGCTGACTCGGTCGCGTCGCGGTGGTCCCGCGTCTCTCTGACTCTCGTGTCTGGAAGTCTCTCGTGCGGTCGGCCGTCCGACGTTTTGGAGTAACACTCCTGTAAAGTGTAATAATCAGCACGAAACTCTCCCACGCCACACCCACAGAACTGAGCTGCGCCTCTCTCGGTCTAGCGAGCGTCACGGAGCGGTGCGAGAGCCCCCTCATCTTGCGCGCCTACGGCCTCTCCGGCGCTGCCCTGGAGAGAGCCGTCCTCTACTCACAGCATTCCGCCACGCCACGCCTATCTCACCTAGAGACTCACTCTACTAGAGACGACTTGACACAGACCACGATCGCGCGAGTGCAGGCGTGTGTGCGGCCGGCGCGCAGCCGACATCACTTGCGCCAGATGCGGCGCGGCTGCCCCTGCCGCCCGTCGCAGCCGAGCGCCATCGCCTGCTTGAAGTCGTCGACGTGGATCCAGTAGTTTGCCGCCATCTTGACGCCCTGTAGGACGGGCATCGCCTCGTGGTGCGTCCGGTCGTCCTTCTTCCACGGGTTGTCCTCGAGGCCGTGCGGCCACCAGACCGCAGAGCCGCGCTTGGGCATGACGGTCAGGTTGAGGTACGGGAACTGGGTGCCTAGGTAGTCAAGAGTTCACAATTCATAATGAGTCGGGTTGAGGTATGGGGACCAGGTGCCTAGCCGGGCGAGGAGGGCGCGCTTGCTTGCGGGGGCGGGCGGCGCGGCGGGCGGCGAGGGTGTTGCCGCGCCTCCGCCCTCGTCGACGTCGGAGAGGTAGAGGAAGAAGGTGAAGACGCGAGGGCCGCAGAGCGCCTGCAGCTGCTCGGGGATCCAGTCGTGGTGGAGGCGGTAGTACTCGCCAGGGTGGTACCTTCGCCGGGGGGTGGTGCGTGCTTGCGCGCGCAGCGTGGGCGGCCCTTCTCTCCCGCCGCGTCGGCCGAGTCGACTACATCTCTGCGACGCCTCTGCGACGCCTCTGCAACGCCTCTGCAACGCCTCGGCTATCTCTCGGCTATCTCTCGGCTGTCTCTCGGCTATCTCTCGGCTAGCTCTCGGCTATCTCTCGGCTATCTCTCGGCTAGCTCTCGCTTGAGGAGCTGCATGTGCTCTGCGTTGTTCTGCGGCAGCCCGACAATGTCCATGATGCGCTCGATGACGCGCTCGTGCACCTGGAGGGGAGGGGAGGAGGGGAGGAGGGGAGGAGGGGTCCCCTCTCCCGCGGCGGTGCGCGCCTCTGCCTCGGCGAGGGGCTGTCGGTAGGACCGGGTGGTTGTAGCAGCCCGGGTGCTGGCACCAGGCGTTGTACGAGGTTCGGATCTGGTCGGGCACGTCCTGCAGCACGACGCGCCCGTCCTTGCCTCGCGTCGCCTTTGCGGTGGTGGACGGCTTGAGGTACTCGCCGCTCTTCCCGCCCACTGCCTCGACGATGCCGTCCGTCTCCTGGCGGGCGGGCGGACAGGCGAGGCGGTGCGGGGGAGGGAGGGGCGACGGGTTGGTGGGGAGGGGCTGGAGGGGGGCGGCGAGGGGAGGGTGCGCCTCGTCGGAGAGAAGGTTGTCGAAGGTGACCACCCACGGGTCCCGCGAGAGCACACGAGGAGAATACTGCGGGTACTCCGCCACCGCGCGCCTACGGAGCGAGCCTCCGCCGGTGGGGCAGCTGGCGGCAGGGAGCGGCGAGCTGGCGCGGGGACGCGCTCGAAGATCTTGGTGAGGTCTCCCTCCGCCACGTCGGGCCTGAGGCACACCCGCGCCGCCTCAGAGGAGGCAGGAGCGGACGCAGAAGGCGCCTCGCCTCTCGGAACACTCTGCGCACCGCTCAGTCGGGTTGTGCGTGCACGGGTCGTCGTAGTCCGGCGAGCAGGAGAGGCAGCAGGTGCGCAGCATGTACTCGGTGTTGCGGTAGCACTCGCCTGTCCGCGGGGGTGGCGCGGGCCTAACCCGCTCCTCCGAGGCGCTGCCGCCGGGTGGGAGGCGGGCGGGCAGGGCGCGGCGGCGCGCCCGACTGCGCCCACGCGACGCAGGACGAGTCGGTGTCCTTGCACGCCAGCTTGTGGCACGAGAGGCAGCACTTTGATCGCGTCGCCTCGTCGTCGCACCGCTCCGCCGTCAGACCAGAGCAGCCAAACGAGGCGTCCTTGCATTTCGGTCGCTGCATCGACGGGTCCATGCGGCCCTCGTTCAGAAGTCGCCGCTTCCGCTGAGCATCGGTCTCCCCCGCCACCGCAGCCGATCTCGAGGAAGCCGCGTTCTGGCCTCCTCCTCCCACGCTGCCACGGCGAACGGCTGGCACCAGCGTCGCACGAGACGAGTAGACATAGTAGCCTGCCGCTGCCGCCGCAAGCAGAGCACCAACGAGCGCTCCAACGCCAATTCCTCCTCTCCTCTCCGCCTTTCGGTGGCCCGGCTTTTTTAACTTCTCCGGCTTCTTGCCCATGGAGTCGACGCAAGGGCCCGGCAAACAAGCCTCTCAAAAGAATTTTTCCCTAAGCCTCTCTCACAGCACACTGGCACGACAAGGGCGCGGACTGGCGCGGACTGGCACACACACCGGCTCACAAAGAATTTTACGACGAACTCCCTCGCACAACACTGGGCACGGGACTGGCGCGCACTGGCACACTCAAAAATAATTTGAAAAGCAACCCTCTCTTACGACACTAGGCACAGGACGTCCTCCCATCCCTCCCTTGGCCTGTCCGTTTTCTTTCTTTTACTAGGCACAGGGAAAGAAAGATTTTTAGAACGAAACTCGCTCGCACGACACTAGTCCCGTGCCTAGAGCTCTAGGCACGGGACTAGTCCCGTGCCTAGCGGTGAAAAAGAAAGAATATGCGGCAAAATGGGCCGCCCGCGGCCGCACAGCCGCCGCCCCCCTGCCGCACCGTGCGGCAGCGGCAGAAGCGCGGCAGGAGCACAAGGCCGCGCCCCACGTGGATAGGAACGCCCTCTTTCCGCCCGTCTGAGAGAGAGAGATCTTCCTCCCTCCCGTCTGCGGCTACACGACTCCGAGACGCCGGGGGCCGGACGAGATCACGAATGAGGCGCTCTACCGGGCCTGCCGCGCGTACGGCTTAGGCGAACGGTTCCTCGCTGCGGTGAAAGACGAGCTCGAGCCCGAACTGCCCGTCAGACATGTCGGACTTGTCGGAGAATAGCGACTAGCACACCTCTGTCAAGAGTCCCCAGAAACCCGAGGAGTCTGCTCGTTCTCAGGGTGGCACATTCCTGTTCACACCCACACACGGGGTAATCACCTCCCGCTCCCCCATGACGGCGGGCGCTTGACGAACCAGGGGGGGAACGGGCGTGGCAACCACAACCACGTCGGGCGTGGTTGTGGCAACTCATGATCGAACCAGCGACTCATAGAGTCGAACCACGACTCATAGAGTCGAACAGGACCACGGCGGACGTGGTAGTGGCAACCACGGCGGACGTGGTTGTGGTCGGTCATGATAAAACCGGAAAGGATCCGTTACGCAAAGCATGGCATCCGCCTCCGCTCTTGCGCTGCTCGCTCGCCCGGGCGGAGGACATGGCCGCCGAGGAGGCGAGTGGGCACCTGCCAGGCCTTCCGCAGGCAGCCTATTGGGCAGACTGAGGGTCAGCTCTGCGTGGCGTGGCCCGTGCGCTGCGCTGCGCAAAGCTGCGGGTGGTGAGGGAGCATCCGGTGCTTCCACTGGGAGGCGCGCACCTCCTGCAGCTGGTGGAGGGCCGTGCTGCCGTGTGCCTGCTCCGTGGACAGGACAGGGAGGCGGCGCCGCAGCGCCACGGCCTCCGCTGCTTGCCGGTGCAGCAATGTGCTGCCTGGTGAGCAGCCTGCTGGTTCTGTGTGCGGCATTGACGAGGCTGCAGTGGCACTGTACTGCATGCCACGGCGAGTGGCGCGCGGCGCGCGCGTCGCCGAGCGTGGCACGGGAGGCGCGAGAGGCGCGGCTGTCGGTCAACCCCGCGGCGCATGCGCGCCGCGGAAGCTGCTCGACAGGCGACTTCATTGCGAACGCGGTCGCCGTTACTCCAACTTTGCTTTGCCGATCAAAAGTGCCCGTCCTTTGCTTTTTAGCCGCCGAAATTTAGCATGCTGTTTTTCTTTATAGGTGCCTCGCAGCTGCGTATTCTCGTATTATCTTCGAGTAAGGGATCGCGTGGGGGCGGTACGTATTCCCGTATCACTAGCTCCGAGTAGAGGGGGCGTCCTTGCAGTTAAGGGGAAACCTGGTACGCGGGTCCAACCCTCGGAGAGTATTCTTTAGCTCCGAGTAGAGGGGCGGCGTTCTGCAGTTAAGGGGAAACCCGGTACACGGAGCCAACCCTCGGAGACCCGTGTTATGGCCCTGCGACCGCGCACCCCCGGGGCTAGGGCTCTCTAGCCCGAGGGCTAGAGCGCGCCGGCGGGCGCGCTCTGACTAGCTCCGAGTAGAGGGGGCGGTCTGCTGCTAGGGGAAACCCGGAGCGCGGAGCCAACCCTCGGAGACCCGTGTTATTCGGCCCTGCGAACGCGCACCCCCCAGGGCTAGGGCTCTCTAGCCCGTAACCCGATGCCAATCATCCGGCCCGCTGGGTGCGCTTCTCAGCTCCCCGGCCCTGGATGTGCGGTTGATGACTGCACTCCAAGTGCTCCAAGGAATAACAAAAGCCACCCCCACGACTGAAAAGTCTTAATGGACCTGTCCTAGACTCTGTGGCTGAAGTAGCGTGTGCGTCGAAGCCACAAGAGGGCTGGCGTCGTCCGGAGTTCCTTGAGAGGGGGGTTGGCGTATTTTAGTTTCCTTGAACGGTTGATGAGACTGTGAAACGATCGCCGCAAGGGGCGTGAACGCACAAGTGCGTAATGACCGCAAGTGGTCGTGAACACCCCAAGGGGTGTGAAAGTAAATACTCCACTTATTTACAGATACCATACCAGCAAAGTACCCGAATCCAACTGCACGTGCCCAAGCGCACACCGGCCGGAGCGCCACCGGGGGGTGCCGCCCTCCCGTTCATGAGCCCAACAACACGAACGCTATCCATCCTCACCGGCCCCCATCCCCGTGGTCGGCCTCGCTCGCCGCGCCAAGCCGCGGCCCGGTCGTCCGCCCGGCGGCCAAGCCCAAGGGCGGGGAGGGGGCCACCCGCGCTCGCGCAGGGAGTCACACGCAGTCCACCTGTGTGATGCACGCCCTGCGAGCGGGGCGGGGTGCGCACTGTGTTCGTGCGTCGCCCACCCATCTCTCTACTGGAGAGGTGACTGCTCTATTTATTTAATTTTCATGGCAAACATGGGACATGGGAGACGGCGGTACGGCGCTCCTTTCCTACAAACCAACAATTTTTCGGTGTGTGGCGGCCCGTGACGTTCTCCGCACGTCATGACAGCAGCTGCGAGGTGCGAGCGCGACGTGATGGAAGCACGACAAATGGACGCACGACGACCTTTCATGTAACAGAAGCGCGGTCCATGTCTTTGGACCCCCTCGCGCAGTCCCTCCCGGCCTCCAGCAGACAAAAGGGCCGCAAGAAGCCTCCAGGCCTGGCGGACATTGCCACCGCGGCGCTCTCCTCGCCGGCTAGCACCTTCCGGCTTTCGGAGTCGGGCACCTTTGAGAAGGGCGGCTTTCAGATCAAGGCGAGCGGCATCTCCGCCACCCCGGCGCGGCACGGAGACTTCTCGAGCCTCACCCTCTCCGATCTTTCGACGCTCCACCCGCTCGGGACCGGCGCCTGCGGCACCGTCCACCTCGCGCGGCACCGGCCCAGCGGGACGCTGCTCGCGCTCAAGGCGATCCACATCATGTCAACGCAGGGGGAGCGGCACCAGATGCTCAACGAGCTGCGTGCCCTCTCCTCCTTCGACCACCCTTGCCTCGTCCCGCTGCTCGACGCATTTTATCTGGACGGCTCCGTCTACCTCGCGCTGGGCTATATGGACGGCGGGTCGCTCGAGGAGCTGCTGAGCCGGCACAGGCCCGTGGCAGAGGGCGCGCGCCTCGCCATCACTGGTCTTCCCGAGCCGGTCGTCGGCCACGCCGTGCTGCAGACCCTCTCTGCGCTGGCCTACCTCCACGGCCGCGGCGTCGTACACCGCGACGTCAAGCCCGCAAACATCCTGCTCGACTCGCAGGGCAACGTCAGGCTGGCCGACTTTGGCATCAGCAAGCAGCTCGAGGCCACCTTTGGCGTGGCGCGCTCCTTTTGTGGCACCGCGGTCTACATGGCGCCCGAGCGAATCAGCGGCGCCGATTACACGCAGAGCTCCGACGTCTGGTCGCTCGGCATGGTCGTGGTCGAGTGCGCCGTGGGCCTCCACCCATTCGCCGCGGCGCAGTCGTACTACGACCTAGTGGTCGGGCTTTCCTCCGGCGCCGACCCACCCTCCCTCCCGGAGGGCCTCTTCTCCGCGGAGGCACGGGATTTTGTCGCCGCGTGCCTCCGCGTAGACCCGGAGAAGCGGGCGACCGCTGAAGGGCTGCAGCGCCACCCGTTTGCGTGCGCCGTTTCAGGAGATGGCACCGCACGCACGCCCGATCAGCTCGTGGCCGGCGCCGCATTCCGCTTGCGCCAGTGGCTGAGCCAGACCTTTGGCGGGGGAGACGGCTAGCCGGACTCGTTTGCATCGGACTCATTTTAACTTGGAGGAAGGGTGAAAGATAGAATTTCACCGTTCACGAAGCCGAACGCACGCCCTTGTGTGCAACTCTTGCCCCGACGGCTCACAGGGACCGCACGGGCCGGGCATCCGCTAGATGCGACGCGCGCTGGCCGCGCAGGGAGATTACTGGGAAGTTGGCTATTATTGCCCGCAGGGTCAGTGCCTTCCCTGGACCAACTACACCAGGTCCGCCTGCGCTGCAAAAGCGAACGACGCAGGCAAGGAGTGCTTTAGCAGCGACCTGTTGGAGGGCGCGGGTCCTGACGCGGAGGGCTCATGCTGCCCGTGCGAATTCAATGATCTGAAAAAATGGCAAGGAAGCAACGCATCGACCGTATACCGGGTCGTTGCTCCGCCGTCCGCGCCGCCGCCGCCGCTGCCACCGCCGCCCATCCCCGGGATGCCGCCTCGTCCGCCACCGACGCCACCGCCTCCTAGTCCCTTGCCGCCGTCGTCACCAGTGCCAGCAACGCCTCCATTGCCGCCACCGCCGCCAGCAGCAGAAGAACACGAAAGCAATTCGAGCTGCACCGGGGTGGTCGTCCCTCTCCAAGACGAGGCAGGACCACCCTGGGAAGCCTGCGCGGGGGAGGCAGGAGCGGACAAGCTCTACTTCAGCTTCTGCCGCGAGAGCACCACCTGCACCATCTGCGACCACAAGTTGCCCACTCACGACATCTCTTGCAACGTTTACGTGCTGGTGGCCAGCCCGCCCGCGTCGCCGCCCCGCCCTCCGCCACCCCCGCAGCCGCCGTCGCCGCCGCCGCCGCCGCTACCGCCGGACTCGCCTCCGCCACCGCCGCAGCCGCCGCCACCCGCACCGCCCCTGTCGCCGCCGCCGCTACCGCCGGACTCGCCTCCGCCACCGCCGCAGCCGCCGCCACCCGCACCGCCCCTGTCGCCGCCGCCGCAACCGCCGTTGCAGCCGCCGCCACACGCACCTCCACCGCCGTCCCCTTCGCCGCTGCCATCGCCTCCGCCGCCCAACTCCCCTCCGCCTCTCTCGCCTCCAAGCCCCCAGTCGCCTCGGCCACCAGGGCTGCCGCCGCCGCCACCCGGGTCCCCACCGGCGCCTCCGCCGCCTGCGTTGCCACCCGACACGCCACCTCAATCGCCGCCTTCGCCGCCGGCGACGCCGCCGCCGCCCACGCCGCCGCCACCGGCGCCTCCGCCGCCTTCGCCGCCGCCAGCGCCGCCGCCGCCGCCGCCGCCGCCGCCGCCGTCGCCGCTTCCTCCGTATGAATGTCGCATCAAAGTTGACGACTGCTATGATCTGAACTCGAATGCGCCGAATATAACCAAGGAGGAGTGCGCACTGTACTATGACGTTACCCAAGTCGATAATACAACACGCCTCTGTGCGCTGAGCGACGGGGACTGCGACGGCTCATCCGAGGAAGTTCCGTTAGGCCTCACTGATTGCCCTTCCCCGCTTCCGCCGCCGCCCTCGCCCCCGCCGCCGACGCTCCCGCCGACGCCACCGCCTCCCTCGCTGTCTCCGTTGCCGCCGCCGCCGTCGTCGCCGCCATCGCCACCGCCGTCACCGCCGCCATCGCCACCGCCGTCGTCGCCGCCATCGCTGCCCCCACCGTCACCGTCGCTGCCCTTGCCGTCGCAGCCTCCGCCGTTGCCCGTGACCCCAGCTCCGTCATCGCCGCCTTCGCCGCTCGCGCCGTCCCCACTCTCGTGTCTCGGCTTCGTCAGTCGCTACTCTAGCGGGACCATCGCGGGCTACACGAGCCGGTTCGACAAGCCCAACGACGGCAAGTGCTGCGACTATGCGAGTAACAACGACACGGTCTGCGGGTTTGAGGTGCGCGGCACTACCTGCACCCACTACAGCGGCACGGGTTGCACGCTCGCGTCCCGCCGTCGCCTCGCTGAAGAGGAGGAGGAGCCTCCCGACTCGACGCACCTCAGGATAGCGCCGCCGTCCTCGCCGCCGTCGCTGCCGCCCTCTGTGCCGCCGCCAGCTGCTCCGCCGCCGTCAGTGCCCCCGCCAGAGCCGCCCCCGCCCCCTCAGCCGATGGCCCCGTCACCCTCGCCCCCTCTACCGACGCCCCCGCGGCACCCGCCGCCCCCACCGCCCTCGCTGCCTCCGCCCGACGCGCCCCCGGCGGCGAGCAAGCAAACCACCGGCGGCTTCCTCAGCTCGACGGTCGGCTACGTCAGCCTCGCCGCCGCCGGCACCGTCGCCCTTCTCCTCGTCGCCGCCGTCGTCTACTGCCGCATCAAGCGCAAGTGCTGCTTCGGTAGCGGCGGGGGCGCGTGTGTCTGCCCGTCGCTCCCGAAGCGCGGCAGCCGGAACGGATCGCGGGCGGAGCCGGCGAGGGCACGCGGCGGGCTCGGCGGGCGCGGCGGGCGCGGCGGGCCGGAGGGCCGCCCGAAGCGGCGCTTTGGCCGCAAGAGCCAGGCCCCGCAGGACGTGGGCACTGGCGGCTCCGAGAGCTCTTGCGACCACAGCGAGGTCAGCATCGAGATGGGCGCGGCGGCGGACGGCGCGGCGGGCGGCGGGCGGCGGGCGAGGGGCTCTCGCCCCGCAACGGCCTCCAAGAAGAGCAAGAAGCAGGCGGAGATGGAGGCGGCGAGAGAGCGCGCGCGCCGTGCCGCGGGGATGCCTCCCAGTGGCGAGGCGCCGCCGACGGCGAGCATCGTGACGCCGACGCCGGCGCAAGACGACGGCCCGCCGTCGCCGCGGCCGCCGAGCATGACGACGCCGGCGTGGGAGCAGCACGTCGGCGCGCTGGGCTCGCGGCGGGCGATGGCGAGTCAGCTCGCCGAGATGCTCAACTGCGACCTGGGGCAGGCGGAGGAGGCGATCGAGGCTGCTGGCGGCGACGCGAACGAGGCGACCGAGCTCATCCTTGGCGAGGGCATCATCCCGCCCGCAGGCCCCGCCACGGACGCCACGTCCAGCTGCTCGTCCACCACAATCTCGTCGTCCGCCGCGGTGTCCTTCGCCGCCAATTTCGACTCGGCGGGCGGCGGCGGGTTCGACGACGCGGGCTTCGAGGCCTCCTTTCCCGCGGCGGAGGCGGCGCCCCCGCCCCCGACCGACGCGGAGCGGCAGGCGTACGGCAGCGTGTTCGAGCAGGCCGCGTGCGGCCGCCCGACGGTGAGACGCGCCGAGGCGGAGCCGGTGCTTGCAAAGGCGCAAACGTCGGGCGAGGACGTCGAGCGCATCTGGTCCCTTTGCGTGGCGGCGCGCGGCCCCAGCTCCGACTCCCCGCCGCCCGACGAGCTCACGGCCGCAGAGTTTGGTGCCGCGCTCCACCTCGCCGCCGCGCTGTTCCGCGGGCTGCTCCCGGGGGGGCTGCCGAGCCGCATGCCTCCCGGCCTGCTGCCGCCTGCGCCGCAGGAGGCGCCCTCTCATGAGGCGACGGCGTTCGCAGCGTTTGACGGCGATGTGGAGCCGGGCGGCTTTGGCGGGGGAGGCTTTGGTGGGGAGGGCTTTGATGGTGGGGGCGGTGGCTTCTGCGACGGAGGCTTCGCGACCGCGCCGGACGGCTTCGCGACCGCGGCGACCGCGCCGGACGGCTTCGCGACCGCGCCGGACGGCTTCGCGACCGCGGCGACCGCGCCGGACGGCTTCGCGACCGCGGCGGACGGCTTCGCGACCGCGGCGACCGCGCCGGACGGCTTCGGCGGCGGAAGCGGCTTCGACGCGACTGGCTTCGACGCGAGTGCGAAAGATGGCTTTGGCGACGGAGGCTTCGACGCGGCCGCGCCGGACGGCCTCGACGCGGCCCGCTTCGACGCAGCTGAGGCGGCGGGCGGCGTATTCGAGGCGGGCGAGTGGGGCGGAGAGCCGATCTCGAGTCCGACTGTGGACTCGGAGCCGCCTCTCACCTCCAACAGCCTCGCCACGCGCGCCGCGCGCGGGTTCGGCCCCGACTCCGAGTCCGACTCCCCTTTCGACCCGCCTTCGCGAGCCGGCGGCGCCGCCTCCGACTTCGACTCTCCCGGCCTATCGAGGGTGGTGGCGGCGGAGCCGCCGCCGCCGGCCCGGGAAGCCGCCGCCGAGGCGGATTGGTGGGAGTCGGAGCGTCAGTCCGCGAGCCGCGCGGCGGCGAGCGATAGCGGCGACGAGTGGTGGCAGAACGGCGCCGACGGCCGCGCCGACGGCCGCGCCGAGGCGGCGGGTGATGAGAGCGGCGAGGATTGGTGGAGCGGCGAGGCGTCGGAGGGGGGCGTGGCTCACGTGACGCCGACCGCTCCTCCCGTCTACCTCGGAAGGGTCCCGCCCACCCACCCGGCGCTGCAGCGGGCGCGCTCGTCTGGCGGGAGGATGCCCCTAGGGATGCCCGTGCCGGCGGTGCAGGAGGATGATCCTCAGTCGGTGCCGCCCGCCTCTCCGTCCGACTCGGCAGAGGATGGTGACCTGGACTGGCTGGGCGTCTGACTTGGCGCCTGGCCTCTGACGGAGGGTGGCTCTTCAGTGATACTCAAATGTAGTCATGTACGTGTCGTCCATGTGTTAAATTGGGGCGGACCCCCCAGCTATACGTGTTTGGTACGCTGATACCTGATTCGCGCTGTGTTACACGAAAGAGTGTCTCTCTCTCCGCACACACACACACACACACACTGTCTCTCCCCAGACTCCACTTTTTATTAACACGTATAGTTATAAATCCCCCTGGAGGAGGAGGTCTCCCTGACCGCTCGTGCGGCCTGCGCGGAGGCTCAGGCTGACGCACACACGGAGCCACACGTGACACGAAGACACGATTGATGGTACAGAGGGTGAAACGTATGCATACTCTATAGCTCACCGCGTTCGCTTTTATGTACGTACGTCAGTCGTCAGCGCAGCCTCGCTATACTCTAGCCTCAGGCGCTGGGCCTGGGGCCTGAGGCGTGAGGGTCCTCCCTTGCCTTGGCAATGTATCGTTGGAAGGCTGGCCTTGCGGTGTTGCGGTCCAAGTAAGCGCGGAGGACAGGGTCGTCAGGCAGCCAATCGATCTCTCTTGCCCAGCAGAGGCAATGTGTGAGCAGCAGGTCTGCCGCCGTGAAGGTGTGCGCGCCCGCAAGGAGGCTCGGCGACGCCTGCAGCACAGCGGTCACGCTCTCGAGCTGTCGAAGAAAATAGTCGCGAGCTGCGTCGACAACGACCGGCGCGGCTCCGTAAACCTCGGACAGGCACTGGTGCTTGCGATGGATGTAAAGCGACTGCGCGTCGAGCTCCGTCATGATAGTCATCAGCCACGCGTCGTAGATTGCGCGGTCCCGAGTGCACGGTGGTGGCACCCAACCGCTGTCGGGTGCGTAGGTGTCACACAAGTAGGTGTTGATAGCAGCAGACTCCGTCAGGGTGAAGTCACCGTCTTGGATCACGGGTATCTTGCGGCGAGGGCTAGCAGCGAGGAAGTCCGGCGCCTCCATGTCTGCCGTCCGAGACCAAAGCGGCCGGTGCTCGTAGTCGATGCCGAGCTCTTCCAGCATCCAAAGTACGCGACCCGCTCGGAAGCGGGCGTGGCCCCAGAGCCTGAGACGACTCATGCTGTCTCAGCTGACAGCAGCTAGCCAGAAACGACACAGACCACTCGGCGAAAAGGTGTGTGGACCCCAAATCGGGTCCGGATTACGTTGCCGCCTCGCGCGCACCGCTGCTGCCCTCGCCAGCAGCCGCCGCGGTCGCAGTGCCATCGTACGGACTGGCGGTCGACTCGCCACATCGATTTCAACTCACGCGACGCGCTCGGCCTCCGCTGGCGGCTGCCGCAAGAGCGGCTGGCTCACGGCAGCGTCTCGCCGGTTGCCGGATAGGAGAGTACAGAACGTCTGGAGTGTAACTGTGTACGTGAGATCGGTTTTGATAACAAGCACGGTCGATCCGTCAAAGCGATACACTCGTTCCTATCTCGCTGGAGGGCTGGCACGGAGCTCTGTTGCCGACAAACAGGAAGAGCCGAGCGGCAAGAAGGGCTCGATGGGGAGCGAGAACCGTCAAACGTGCTCACGGAGGTTTCGGAAGTCCACCCTGATGCGGTCGGTTCCCCCCAGGTTTGAACGCGCAGCTCGCAAGACTCGTCGAGCACTCGCAGCCTCTCTGCGCCTCTCATGCTGCCGCTCTGCGGGACGTTCGCAGTCTTTCCGGAGATATCGTCGAGTTTTGGAAGCTGCGCGGTCAAACCTGGGGGGAACAAGAGCGTCACGACGGACTTCAGGTTACACCTGAAGCTCTTCTGACGGTTCCCATCGAGCCCTTCTTGCCGCTCGGCTCTTCCTGTTTGTCGGCAACAGAGCTCCGTGCCAGCCCTCCAGCGAGATAGGAACGAGTGTATCGCTTTGACGGATCGACCGTGCTTGTTATCAAAACCGATCTCACGTACACAGTTACACTCCAGACGTTCTGTACTCTCCTATCCGGCAACCGGCGAGACGCTGCCGTGAGCCAGCCGCTCTTGCGGCAGCCGCCAGCGGAGGCCGAGCGCGTCGCGTATCGATCGAGCTCGCGATCCGGGCCGTGGAGCCCACGAGGAAGACTTCGTCTGCTAGGACGGAGTCCCGACGCTCGCTGCGTCCGCTGGAACTGGGGTCTACACACCTTTCGTTTCCGCGTCCCGCAGTGGGAGTAGTCGAGCGCGTCCAGGTGTTCTCGAATAAAATGCGCCTGCTTCACCCTGGCCACCGGCGGAATTGTGGTCCTGGAGGGCGGACTCGCCACGTACATTGACAGTGGTGGCACGCCACGCCGCGTATGCGCGTCGGACATCACGTGCTCAGCCTTCAGCGTGACAGACCCGGTCGACGCGCAGAGTCTGATCCAGCAGGCGGAGGACGCCCTCTCTGACCTGCACGAGGCCGAAGGGGAGAGGCGCCGGCTGTCGTACAGCGAGAACCAAGGGTACGAGGAGCAACAGTGCAGCGGCACACACGCAGAGCTTCTGCTGTGACTACAAGTTTAGGGCCGGCTCAAACAAGAAGAAGTGCCGGGTGTACCAGGACGGCGATGTTGGAATGACGGGCAACTCCAAATGGAAGGCGTATATCTACTCTGCCCTGCCGTTGCCGCCACCCTCGCCACCTCCGCCCTCGCCACCTCCGCTTACTCCATCACCCCCGACGCTGCCATCGCCGCCATCGCCGCCTCATGCATGTAAGAGGGGCGGGTATGGAAATGGCAACTGTCCAGTTGGTGGATATCTACCCATCACTTCGAAATCCCAGTGCCAAACTGCAGTCGAATATCTCAGCCTCTCGCTGGCAGGTATGTGCAACGGGTGTACAGTTCCAAGTGTGAGGCAAACCAACATGCGGTATGGGTGCATTTATCAGAACTATGGAGGCGGAGTGGCCTTCTTCAATAGGTATGAAATGTACAGCGGCGGCATGAATGGCTAGTTAGCCACGATTTGCTGCTTCGACACAGGAGATGGTTCTTGCGACTAATCCTATTCTTGAGTCGGCGGCCGCTGCAAGGGCCAAGGCGCGGGAGGCGGCCTAGCCCGCGCGCAAGGACTGTGCTGGAGTAGTGGCAAGCACGTGTGGAAGGGTCTTTCGTACTCTGGGGTGCGTTCCTTGTGTGCCCATGCGGGGGGGGAGATGGGGAGGCTCCCCAGCCCGCCGCAGGATTTTTTCGGAACTGATGCGTACTCGAGTACGTGTGAGATCGGTCTTTCTTGGCACCAGGCACCAGCGGCGCACGGTCGAACTAATGAGCGATACACACATACACTCGTTTACGTTCCCCCTCCGAGCTCTTGTGAGACACACGACAGAGCTCAGCGCGAGCCCCGCTAAAACAGGAAGAGCCGTCCGCGGTGCTGGCTGGCAAGAGCAGATCGAGATGCGGGGCACTCGCAATCTCTTGGAGCACTTGCTTGAGTGAAATTGGTTGTTAACCCGATTCTTATTCCGCCGCATCATCATCGGCATGAAGTAGAGCTCCCACTAAAGGACGTAAAGAAATTTAAAAAAAAGAAACTCGCGGTGCCGCATCATCACGACCATCGGCGTGGCGACGGTACATGTTCGGAACGAATAAGCCCGTCGCCGCCGCCTCTGCCGTCGCCGATGACCCTCACCGTCGCCCCATCCATGCCACAGGTGGCGCCTTTTAGCATGCTCTCGCTGCTGTCCGCATCGCTGGCGCTGGCCGGCACGGTCGGCCGTGACGGGCGCTTGGAGCAGCCTCCGCCGAGCGTGGGCCGGGAGCTGCGCGAGCTCAAGGACAACCCATACGTGTGCGAGGAGGGCGTCGAGACGGCCAAGGAGGAATGGAAGGTCTTCGGCACCAACCTGGGCGGCTGGCTCGTGCTGGAGCCGTGGATCACGCCGTCGCTCTTCTACCAGTTCCTCTCCGTCGACCGCAAGTTTGGCAAGGAGGCGCCGGCCCACACGGGGATGGACACGTACTCGTTCTGCGCGGCGCTCGGCCCGAAGGAGGGCAACAAGCAGCTGCGCCGTCACTGGGCGAGCTGGGTGCGCGAGGAGGACGTGCGTGCCATCGCGCAGTCGGGTGCGACGGTCGTGCGGATCCCGGTCGGCGACTGGATGTACGTGCCGTACGAGCCGTACATCGGCTGCACCGACGGCGAGTCGGCTGCGGGGCCGGGCCGCCGGAGGGCCCGGCAGAGCGAGTCGTCCTTCGGAGTAGGCTCTCTCGAGGAGCTGGAGCGGGCCCTCGCGCTGCTGCGCAAGTACGGGCTGCGCGCCCTCCTCGACGTGCACGCGATGCAGGGGTCGCAGAACGGGTGAGGACGCGCGGGGAGGGCGCCGAAGCCAGGCCAGGCCGGGACCCCGGCCACCGTCGCCACCCGCAGGTTCGACAACTCGGGCCAGGCTCTGCGAGTCAAGTGGACGCAGGCGCCGCAGACGCGTCTCCGGATCCCGGGAGTCCGAGAGCCGAGAGTCCGAGAGCCGGAGCCCGTGGTCGCAGGTCTCGGCGCAGGACCCGGAGGCGGTGACCACCTTCGAGCACTGGCCGCAGCGCGCCGCCGACTGGCTCGCGCCGTACGACAACGCCAAGGGCGCCTACCCGCCCGAGATGAACAAGACGGCGTACGACCGCTCGCTCGACGTCATCCGCAAGCTGGCGGAGCGGCACCGCGGAGACGCGACCGTGTGGGGCGTCGAGCCGGTGGGCGGGCGGGCGGGAGTAGCCCGCCGCCGTGGGAATTGCGGGCCGCTGCTCCCCGATCAGAGGGGGTGGGGAGAGAGGAGAGAGCAGCGCCATCCAATCCTTGTGCCAGCCCTTCCCGCGCCTCCGCCTCCCGCGCCACCGCCTCCCGCGCCTCCGCCTCCCCTTCCGGCGCAGGTGAACGAGCCGTGGCAGATGTACCCGACCGAGTGGATCAAGCAGTTCTACTGGGACGCGTACCACATCACGCGCGAGGCGGCCAAGGTGAGCAAAGGCGGAGGAGGCGGCGCCGCGCGGCGAGGGCAGCCCCCCACCGCCCTACCCCCCCACCACCCCGCCAGGACTGGAAGTTCGTGATGCACGACTCGTTCCGCGGCTACCCGGCGGAATGGTGGGGCTTCATGAAGGGCTGCCCCAACAAGGCGATGGACTCGCACATCTACCAGGCGTGGGCCAACCCGATGATCGCCAAGGGCTTCTTCGACGCCGCGTGCGGCATGGCGGGCGGGCTGCGCACGATGGAGGAGCGCCGCGCCGCAGCCAGCCCCCTCCTCGCCAGCGGCAGCGCCCCCGAACCCGGCCGCCCCCTCGTGCACAGGAGCAGCTCGACATGCCGATGATCGTGGGCGAGTGGTCCCTCGCCACCGACAACTGCGCCATGTGGCTCAACGGCCTCAACGACAACCTTCCAGGCGGCCCAAAGGCGCGTGCGGCACGCGGCGTGAACCGCGGCTCTTCACGCCACCACCTCTGAACAGGCTACCCGAAGGTATCGTGCGCGATGGTTCCCTGCCCGGAGCCATACATGGGGGAGCAGCCGGGCGCGCCTCGCTTGCCGGCGCCGCAGCCCCCGAGGCCGCGCGGCACGCCTCTGCTTGCGCGGTGCCATAGGCGCGCCGCCCGACGCCGAGGCGCCGCTGCAAGGCCCGTACGGGACGGGCGTGTCCGGCCCCATGTTTGGGAAGTGCCCCGTCGGCATGCCGTGGGGGACGCAGGAGAACGAGACGATGAGCAGGCTCGCGAGCGTCGCGCGCGTGCCATGCCGCGGCCTCCCTCAGCTTGTGTCCTCCCGCCGCCCCTCCAGGCTGGCGAACCGCTACTTCAAATCCTTCTCTGCGGGGCACGGCTGGTTCTTCTGGCGCGCGCCCCAGCCCAGTCCAGCCCGCCCGAGCCCGCCCTCGGCCACACCGGAGGCCCCTCCGACTGCAGGAACTTTCGCACCGAGCTCGAGCCCCGCTGGTCGTACCTCGAGGCGTGGCGGCTCGGCTGGTTCCAGAAGAATGTGTCCGACTACACCTCGGACGCGGTGCAAGGCGCGTGCGACGAGGAGCCGCCCGCCGCCGTCGCGAAGCCGATCGTCTCGGTCGAGGCGGTCTTTGACGCCGCCACCGCCGAGACGCCGCTCGGCGATGTCCGCCTCGAGGGGGCAGCGGCGCCGGTGGCGGCCGCCGTTTGCGTCGCTGCGATGCTCGCCGCCACGACGCTCGCCTTTCGCACGTGGCGCCTGCACGCGGCCCCGCCGGAACCGGACGAGTACCAGGAACTCGCAGGCCACACGAAAGGCTGAGCCGCGCTGGGGCCAGAGCATGGGAGCAGGTCCGACAGCTGGGCGCAGTTGCGTTCGTTGGCTCCAGTCGCGCCCTGCCGCCCTGTCGCGCGCATCCTCGCTCGCGCGCTGTCGGCCGAGCGAGGAGATGCGCTTTCGATACATGTGCGCTTAAATTATATGATAAACCTCGTATCACCTCGAATGTGCATAGCCGAATCCGTTGAAGACTTCTCCCTCTACACGGTCGATAATGGCGCGTGTCGCGGCTGTGTGCTGAGTCGCGGCGAGCACTGGCGCGTCCGAGCAGCTGAAGGACCCTCCTCCTCTCCGCCCCCAGAAGGGGTCGCAGCGGCGGGGCCGGTCGAGGGCACAGTGGCAGCTTCTGTTCTTGCTGTACCCGGAGCCCGGCACGACATGCGGCAGAGGCGTCGCGGGCAAGCCATAGCGAGCCACCAGAGAGGACCAGTCACGCTCGAGCGTTTCCGTATGTAGCACAAAGTCAGCGGCGCAGCCCGAGAGGGTGCCTCCGCACGCGCGCTTGATGCGGCCACTAAGCGAAAGGCAGCGCGAAAAGTTGGAGCTGCACGAAACGGCGCTCGGCGTCGCCTCCACCCAGCCGAGCAGCGAAGGCAGCGTCGCGAGGATGCCGGGCTCCCTCCTCGACACGCGCGTCGAGGCTCTGAACTCGCTGGTCAGGGCGTTGTAGGTGGCTGAAAGGCGCGTCCCAGCAGCCCTCCAGGCAAAGCGGTGCACGGACTGCCAGTACGAGTACGGGTCGCGCACGCTGATGACGACAGCAGTAGGCACGCCCGCATCCTCGCACCGCCTCCGGCACGCACGCAACGCAGCATCCCCTCGGCCGTCAGTTCCAACGTGCCCCATGCTCGTCCAGTAGCCGGCCTGCGCCCAGTCCCTTGCAGCACATTCCACAGACGAGCCGCCTGTCTTCTCCACGTGCACAAACAGGATGTGATGTGACGCATTGGGCGCCAGCCTGCAAGGCGTCGCATCTGGGCAGCAGTCGTTTGGGAGGCCGAGTTGCCGACTCCGGCTGCAAGTGTGTCGCGAGCAGAAGCCGACAAAGGCGCCCCTCCGCTGCCTTGGCAGTCGCGCGTGGTTCATGACGGGCAGGACAACCCGACCTCGACGGGACGCCGAGGCCCCCGCCACCGAGCAACGATCAAGTTTGGAACGCGTCCCTGCAGCGTCCATACTCCAAAGTCCAATCAAGACGGTCTGTCACGGCCCCTCGGCGATCGCGCGCGGCTGCCAGTAGGCAGCTCTGGCTCCTACTGTTGCGGCAACAATACACGGCGGGCGGCTTTGGGCGTGTCGATGCGACGATGGAAGCTCGTCCACGAAAGACAATGTCAATATGACAAAAAGAGGGGCGAGATCCCGGACCCGCCGAGAGCTGCTCTCCTCTGGCGTCCTCTGTCCTCTCTGCTCCCGCGGCCAGAGAGCTACAGATTAGAGTTAGAGTACACATGTATTTGTGACTTAGTCCTGGACAACGCGCACCGTACTGTATTGTGCGGGCGTTGTCCAGGACTATGGGCAGACGCGCGCACCGTACTGCTCGGTGCTGCTGCAGTGCACAAACTATGGGCAGACGCGGTAGATGGGCGGCACACACATTCACATTGGGAGGCACTCCACAAGCCTCTCTATTCCTCCGCATCCTGCAGCTCCCCGCGCACCCTGGTCACGAGAGTCTCCTCGGGCAGTGCTGCGCGAAGGCTCCTCTCGTACGGCGATGGCTCCATCGCGTTCCGTGCAGCGAAAGCTCCCTCGCGGCGGAGCTGCACCGTTATGAAGACGAGCCGGTCCTTGGCACGTGTCGCTGCGACGTGGGCGAGTCGCCGCTCCTCGTCAGCGTGACGCTCCTCAGGCGTCCCTCGCGCGTGCGCGTCGGCCTCTCTGTACGCGCGAGCGCAGTTGAGGTCGCAATGGCCATTGGCGCGCCTCGCGGCACACTGCGGCTTGTGCCGCTGCGCCGTGTTGCCCGTCTCCTCGCGGTAGCCCATCGGCAGCAGGCCGTCGTTGAGGAAAGGCACGTAGACGTCGCACCATTCGAGTCCTTTCGCTCGGTGGATCGTGCTGATAGAAACCTTCGACGACCCCTCGGCTGCCGCGTCCTGCGCATCCGCCGCCGAGCTGCGCATCGCGACCTCGGTGAGGAAAGCGCGCATCACGCTCCGCCCGCGGCCACGAGATGCAAACAGCTCGTCCACGACGCAGTCGGGCAGCGCCGACAGCTGCAGCTCTGCGGCGTGGTCGAGGACATACGTGCGGCAGAGGGCAAAGAGCGAGCGCTCGGAGCCCGCCGCTGCACGCTCGCGCGCAGCGTACTCTGTCGAAAAGGCCGTCGCCACCTCTACGAGCGAGCTCACCTCTGACGGCAGCCGCATCGCGCTCGAATCGCCACCTCCGGCGCCCTGTCCTCCAGCGTCGGCCACGCCCTCGTCGCCGCGGTCCCGGGCCGTGCCTTGCAAAGGAGCCAGCGCCCGCCTCTGAGACCGCTCCTTTCGCTGCTGGGGCGCGACCTCACTCTCGCCCTTCACCTCGTCGTCCTCGCTCTCCTCGCCCTCCTCCTCCTCGCCGTCCTCCTCCTCCTCCTCGCCCTCGCTCTCCTCCTCCTCCTCCTCCTCCCCGCGCGACGCCTTGCCCGCCGCCGCCCGCTTCTTGCGGACGTGCATCGCGTCGAGCCCGGCCGCGCTCCAAACGCGCAGCAGCATCGCGGGCAGTTCCGCCATGACGCACGCGTCTCGCAGCTCGTCGAGCAGCGCCAGCAGCGAGCCCAGAGAGGCACGCTGGCTCTTCTTGACCCCGACGCCCGACGCCACCATCTGCCGCGCCGCCGCCTCGAGGCCGACGGGGAGGCCCCGCCGCGCCTCGACGAGCGCGCGCCGCTGGTGCTCGACGACTCGCAGCACCGACTCCTCGGGCAGGCGCCGCTTCGGCCGATTGAGGATGCGGACGAAGGCCTCGTCGTCGTGCTCGCCCGAGCCGAGCGCCGCGAGCCGCAAGTAGGCGAGCGCGTCGAGGACGGCCGCGAGCTCGAAGAGGCCCTTGCCGCCCAAGAGTGTGTACGGCACGCGGCGGAGCGAGAGCTCCTGCTGCAGCGGCTTGTGCAGCGAGCCCATCTCGCCGGCCTTGAAGCAGCGGAAGAGGCACGCCATCTCGCCCCACGGCACGCCCTCCTCGTGCCGCGCCCGCATCGCCCGCACCAGCTCCGACGCCTGCTCGGCCGGCGTCGCAACCTTCCACAGCTCGACCGGCGCCCCCGTCTCGCGCGTCGGCGCGAGCGTCTTTGCCTCGCGGCGCGCGCACTCCTCGAGCAGCACGTGCGCGACCCGCAGGATGTTGGCCGTCGACCTGTAGTTGTCGACGAGCGTGCAGTGCTCGTACCTCTGGGGCAGCCGCGAAAAGTTGCCAGGCTCGGCCCCGCGGAAGCAGTAGATGCACTGGTCGTCGTCTCCGACGACGGTGACCTGCGGATCCGCCTGGTTCACCATCAGCTCGAGCAGCTTCGCCTGCATCTCGCTGTTGTCCTGGTACTCGTCCACGATCAGGTGCGAGTGAGCCGCGTGGAAGGCGCGCCGCGCGCCCTCGTGCTCGCCGAGCAGTCGGTGGAAGTGGAGCAGCATCGCGTCGAAGTCGAGCCTGCCCTCGCGCCGCTGCATCGCGTCGTACCGCCGCCAGACGTCCGCGTCGTCCTTGAGGTACTCGCTGTAGCCCTGCCGCTGCTGCCGCCCCCTCCGCACTAGCTCGAGGTAGAAGGCGACCTTGTCGCGCCTCTCCTTCTTCGACGCGCCGAGCCAGAGGCGCGCGATCGGGTCCTCGCCCGGCGGCATCGGCCCGCCCTCCTCCTCCTCCCCTTCGCCCGTGGCCCGCTGGGCGGGAGGAGCCCTCGCACGGCTGCTCCTCCTCTGCGCCCCGCGCAGCTCGAGGTACACGTGCGCTCGCCTCGCCACCATGCGCGCGGCCTCGAGCTCGGCTCGCCTGGCGCGCGCCTCCTCCTCCTCGGCCGCCACGTCGGCCGCGTCCCTCCCGCCGCGCCGTTTCTTGCGCGCCGGCGCGGCCTGCGCCTCGTCAAAGGGAACCTCCCGCTCGGCAGCCTCGCACGCGCGCCTCCAGCTCGCCGGCAGGCTCTGCCTCGCAAAGGCGAGCACCTCCTCCCAGCTCGGCGGCGCGCCGTCCGCGTCCGCTCCGCCGGGGCGGAGGAGGTGTTTGCGCAGGGCAGCGACGCACCACTCGAGGCGCTTCTCGGCGACCTGCTCCTCGAGCACCCGCTGCATAAATTTCCGAACGCCCGCGTCGCCCGTGAGCGGCGCCGGCGCCGCCCCAAGCTCGAGCGCCCTCCAGTAGCGGCGGACCCAGAAGAAGGCGAGCGCGTGGAAGGTCTTGCCGACCGGGAGCAGCCGAGGCGGCACGCCCAGAGCCGCAAAGGCGTGCCCGACGCGCGAGCACAGCTCCTCGGCCGCCTTGACAGAGAAGGTCACCATCAGCACACAGTTTGGAGGCACGCCCAGCCGCACCAGCCGCACGGCGCGCTGGATCATCGTGTGCGTCTTGCCCGTGCCCGCGCCCGCGCGGACCGATAGCTCGCTCGCGGTCGAGTCAGCCACCGCAGCCTGCTGCGCGTTGAGCTGGCGCGGCGGCGGCGGCGGTTGCGGCGGCGGCGGTTGCTGCGGCGGCGGTTGCTGCGGCGGCGGTTGCTGCGGCTGCTGCGGTTGCTGCGGCTGCTGCGGCTGCTGCTGCGGCGGCTGCGGCGGCGGTGGCGGCGGCTGCGGCGGCGGTGGCGGCGTTTGCGCGTGATCGACAGGGCCCGCGACCGAGTGTGCCTCGCACGTCGCGTCGAGCGCGGCGCACAGCAGCTCATCGTCCCCTTCGTTGAACTTCGCCGCCTCACGCTGCAGGATCGAGGCGAGGTGACGGCCATCCGCTGACGAGTTTTCGCCCCCGTCGTCGCCACTCGCGCCGACGACGCCGCCCGCGCCGACTCGGCTCGCACAGAAGCGCTCAAACTCCAGGCGCAGCAGCCGCTGCTGCGGCGCGAGGCTGTTCGAAGCGTCGGGGAGCGGGAGATCAAACTCTCGCGACCTGGGAGGTGGGCGCTTCTCAAACAGGCCGACCTGTCGGCAGCGCCGGGGAGCGCCAGCGGCAGGACCTGGCGCTGCCGGAGGCGCCGGTGGCAGCGGCGGCGGCGCAGCAGGAGGCGCTGGTGCCGGTGGCGCGGAAAAGAAGCTCCGAATGTCGGAGCCACCAGCGCCCTCTGGTTTGCGCTTCGGCATCCTCTGGAGGTCGATGGAGGGCCACTCGCAGGCCACTCGGTCAAGTGGTCGAATCGCCTGGCTTCCAACTTTTGGTGGGTGGGGTATAGATGGACTACCCGCTACCCGCTACCCCCAGGTCTCCAGTAGCTGCCGTGATACGTACGGTCCATACCATCAGCGTCAGCCGTCACGCCCCGCCGGCCCGCGCCGCTCCGCGCGCCCGAGCACCCCCTACCCAGGTGCCTCCACCGCGCTGGTGGGCCCTGGCTGCGCAATTCCTGTACTGTGAGAGAAAAAAAATAGAGCAGTCATCTCCAGGGGAGATGGGCGACGCACGAACACAGAGGCACAGTAAGAAAGAAAGAAACAAGACAGCCAACCCAAGGGAGGGATGGGAGGACGGCACGCCGCCACCACACAGGGATTTTAAGGAGGCACAGTGCGAGTCTCCTTCAAATTCTTTTTATCGGAGAAGCGGCAGCTTGCAGTGTGACCATTCCCGCGCGATCAGTACAGCGACTTGCCGTCGTAAGCTCTCGCCGTATGTCCGCAATCTACCCCGCGCACCTCTCCCGCCGCCTTCTGGCCTCCGCCTGTTTCCACGGTCCGTTGACGGTTGCTTCTGCTGCCGCCAACGGGCAGTTTGCACGCGACTCGAGCGGCTGCGGCTTCTGCGCTGTGCTGATCATGCTCACCTCGGTCAACTATTGGCGCCATCCGCTGCTGGGACCGCGGAGGACCTTCGACATGGCGTCTTCTGTCGCGTGTTTCTTCTACCAGCTCCGCGCCTCAACCTCCGCGCCGAGCGGCGCCTGCCTCGCCTACTGCGCAACCTCGGCCGGCATCCTCGGCTGCTACGGCTTTGCGCGACACTACATGTATTCGCTCGGCAACAAGCCCGCTGCCTGCCGCTGGCATCTCATGGTGCACGGCTTCACGGGTGCAGCTCCTCTGACCGTCAAAGCACGAGGAGTTATTGTTGCCTTTTCACATCGCCTGCCTACGAGTAGGAGCCGGGAGCTTGATACTCTACGATGCCCTTGGCCAGAACTACCTGGGCTGGCGATGTGAAAAGACAACTGCGCGGGTAGTGCGCTGACATGTACAACATGTGCTGCCCCTCTCTCCTTGCACCTTGGCGTCCTTTTGGCTTTTGTGTTTCACTGTAAGTGAGGACAGACAACCCAAGGGAGGGATGGGAGGACCGCGTAGGGCCTAGCCATAAATTCTTTGATTCGCGCTGGGGCGAGCCTCCACCGGGCGAGTAGAGGCACACGCACGCTCTCTTCTCCTCAGAGGGATACCCTGGGTGGGCGGGGCAGGAGCCTCCACCACGCGCTAGCTAGCCGCCATGCCGATCCGCACCCCGACCACTCCGTCGAGCGTCGTCGCCGTCGGCGCCAAACGCGAGCCGCGTAAGCCTCCCGCCTGGCTCGCCGCCGCTCTCGCCGCCGCCGCCGCCACCACCGCCGTCGCAGCGGCGTCCGCGCCGAGGCAGGAGTCTGCGGTTGCAAATGCGGGCGCGGCCGCTCTCTCGCTGCTCGCGTACGCCTTGGCTCTCCTCCTGCTCGTGTTTGCCGTCGCCGCCGCCGCCCATCGCTGCCGCCGCCGCCCAGCGCGCCCGGCAGCCGACGCAAGAAAGCCGGAAGCAAAGCAGGACAAAGCCCCAACACCGGCCGCTCCGCCTGCCGCGTCGCCTGCGGCGAAGGTGGCTACTCCGGCCGCTGTGGCAGCTCGACCGGCGCTCGTCGGCAGCGGCGGGGCCGGCGTCGCTCGCGCTGGCTGCCGCGCCATCACTGACGCGAGCGCGCTGAGTGCGTACCTCGGCGAGGAGGAGCTGCAGCGGAAGCGTGACGCGGCCGCGTGCACCTCCTCGGGCGCCGGCCCTTGCGGCGCTTCGCCCGCGGCGCCCGGCGCCTCGCCCGGCTACCTCGCCTCGCGCTGGCCGGCGGCACCCTCCGGCGCCGCCTTCAACGCCGCCGCCGGCCCGGCCGCGTCGCTCGGGCCGCTGCCGTGCCTCAGCTCCGCCCGCTCCCCGCCCGTGCTTGCGGCGGCGGCCTCCCCCTTCGGCTCGGCCTCCTCCTTCAGCCCCGCCGCGCCGGCCCGCTCTCCCTTCTCCCCGTGCGCCGCAGCCTCGCCCGGCTCCGCCGCCGGCTCCGCCACCTCGCACTGCGGCGCGTCCCCCTTCGCGGCCGCCACCGCCTCCCCCTTCGGCGCCTCCCCCTTTGCAGCCTCGCCCTCCGCCTCGCTCGGCGCGGCCGCCGCCAGCGACCCGTCGCGTCGCCTCTCGACTGGCCCGAGCCCCGGCGGCGGTGCGGCCGCACCAGCCCCAGCCCCAGTCCCAGCACCAGCCCCAGCTCGAGCGACTGGTGGAGAACTGGTGCAGGTGCCTGTCCATGAGACCGCCCCGTGCACACCCCTCCCCCCCCCGTGTCAGGCTCCGCCTCAAAGTACCAGCGCGCCATGTACCTGCCCGCCTCGGGCGACGTGCAGCGGAGGGACCCGTCCGTCGTGGCGCGCCGCGCGACGCGCCTCCTCCGCTCGCTCGGCCTGCTCGAGAGCGCGGCAGAGCGCGCGTCTCCGCTCTCGCAGTGGCGGGACAATCTCCGCCTCTGGCTCTCGGCGGCGCTGCTCAAGCCCCTCGACGCTCTCCTCGAGGCGAACGCCGCCGCCGTCAGCGCCGCCGCCGCCAAGGGCTTGCCCGCCGCCCCCGCCTCCGGCCTGGGTGGGCTCTCCTCCTCCTCCTCCCTCTTCGGAGGCGGCTCCTCGCTCTTCTCCAAGCCGCCCGCCGCAGCGCCCGCCGCGGGACCCGCACCCGCGCCCGGGGCGGCGGTGCGTGCGAGGGCCGCGAGTCGGAGGGGCGAGGCTCGCCTCGTGTCTACGAGGCCGCCGGGCTGCCGCGTAGGTGAGCGCCGCCGCGTGGCTGGCGGCGACGCACGCAGTCGAGGCGGACAGGGCGATCGCGCACCAGCACGCCAAGCTGAGCCGCTTCCTCAAAGGGGGCGGCTTCGGGGAGGAGACCAAGCCCTTCGGGGGGAGCCGATTCCCCGAGTTCGCCTTTGGCCGCTGCCTTTGGGAATACTTTTGGGACGGCGGAAGAAGCGGCTGGTGCATTCCCCCCCCGGGCCGTTGGGATTTGGGGCCCCCCCCCCCCCCCCCCCCCACATGCTCCGCCCTCGCCCCCCTCTCCAGGAGCGACTCGCTCCCCACCGACGCCGACCTGCTCGTCCACCTCTTCGCAACCTACCTCGACTTGGTCGCACCGCCGAGTGGCGGGGGGGCGGCCGCAAAGCCACCCGCCGCCGCCGCAGGCTCGTCGCTGTTTGGCTCCGCCTTCGGCGCCCCGCCCGGCGGATCGCTCTTCGGAGGCTCGTCGCTCCTCGGCGCCGCGCCGCGCCCCGCCGCCGGCTCCTCACTCTTCGGAGCCGCGCCCGCGCCCGCCGCCGCCGCCGCTTCGCCCGCGCTCGGCGAGGGCGCCGTCTTTTGGCGCTCGCCCGAGGCGCACGACGGCTTCTCGAGGAGCCACTTTGCGCTCGCGTCCGAGTCGCAGCGGCGGCGGTCGGACGCGGTGCTGCTGCGCCAGCCAGGCGCGCCCGGCTCGCCGCCCATTTTCTCGCTCCTCGTCGGCGGCGCCGAGTGGACGGTGGGCGAGGGCGAGCACAACGCGCCCGACGCGCTGGCGCACCTGCCCGCCGCCCGCAGCAGGGGTTGCGTCGAGGCGGGCTCCTCACGCGAGGCCGGGCTGCGCGCGTAGGTCCTCTTCCTGCTGCAGCGCGCAAAGAGCGGCGGGCACGTCGGCGGCGCCAACCTCGCCGAGCAGACGTACACGCTCTGGCTCGAGGCGCTCTCTGCGGCGGGCGCTGCGGTCCCTCCCCGGCCCGAGTCGCCGCTCGCCTTCCACGCGCTGCTCTCGACGCTGCACCCGTGGTCGGCGCAGCTCGAGAGCCTCTCCCTCGCCGCCGTGACCAAGGAGCTCGACCGCTGAGCAGCCAGCGCGAGGGATCAGAAAGGAGCGGACTACTTTCGAGCGATCACCGCGCTCCGTCCTGCGGTGCGCAGGCCCCACACGTTCCGACTTGCGGGGTGTGTGAGGGTGTGCCCTGCGCGGCGGAGTCAGCAATTTGGCGAGATCGAAAACGAGAGACGAACTGAGAACCGACGAACGACTGTGTCACTGTGAGGCATGCTGTGAGGTTCACAGCGCGACTCTCTCCGTCTCACGATGTCTCCGCAGGGTGAGAGGCGCGGCTCGTCAGGACTCAGATGGTTTGAGAGCGCTGAGAGGTGAGTCTCAGACGTGTACGGGTGCGGAAATCTATATTACTGTTTCAAGGAATGGTCCTGAATTCTGAGTTACTCTCTCCTCTCGCGCCGGACTCGTCGCACTCCGCGGCTCACTATACACGAGACATCACTCATCAGACAAAATTGTAGTTCACTTTAGCGTTCGGCGTTCCCAAAACGCAAAAGAGAGAGATCGATTATTGTTGTTTGCAGTCCGGCGGCTGCTCCCCTCCTACCCCCGCCGCGACGACGGGTTCGTCCGCCTGCTGGTGCCGCGCCAGCTTGAGCTCCTTCTCAAGCTTGAGGATGGGCGCCGGCTTTCGGTACGTGAGCACGAGCGTGCCCGCCCCGGCCGGCTCATGCGTCCACGAGAGCGCCTCCTCCTCGAGCGGCAGCCGCGCGCGATCGAGGTCCGCGATATCGATCCGCTTGAAGTACTTCTTGTTCGCCGTCCGCACTACCACCTGCCGCTGCTCGTGGTCGATCGAGACCGAGTAGGTTGCCTTTGGGTAAGGCAGGTTGCGGATGCGCCACTCGAAGGCGTGAGGCCGGTCGACGCGCACGAGTACCGGGTTGGCGGCGGAAGGGCGCAGCGTGTCGCCCTCGATCGTCACGCGCGCAGAGGGCTCGCCCACCTCAAACGACCACTCACCCTGCCCTCCGAGGAGGGTCCTCGATCGCCGCTTCCGCACGACCAGCGCGTCTGTCTGCACGTCAAACTCCTCGACCATCTCTGACTCGTCCGGAAAGGTGTAGTGCACCTTACGACGACCGCCAGACGTCATGGTAGTCGACTTGGTGCCTTCAGGGAAGGCCGGCATCGCGGCGGCAGGTTTCTGCCGGCGTGCTCCTCCAACGCTCTGTCCTCTTGTGGGGTTGAAAAGAGAGAGGGGTGTTCTCTAGGCCCCTAAGGCTCTCTCTCTCTGTGTATGAGCGGGACTGATACGACCACAGTCGGGTACGGACTCCATGCGGACCATCAGTGATGTAATTTTTTTTCAATCTCTTTGCTGGAGAACGCCCTCGGGAACACACGTGCAACACCCCCGACAAGGTGCGACACCCAGGAGCCAGGTCCGCGCGCGCCCTCGCCTGCACAGCGACGCGCGCCCGCCAGGTCGCCGCTTCTCCCCGAGGGAGAGCACAACCCACAGTTTCGTCCGCGCGGGCACGGCCGACTCTGCCAGGCACCCCCCTCGCTGGAACCGGGGTCGGCCGTGCCGCGCTGCCTCATGAAAGATTCGGACTCAGTACAGACGCAGGGGTGGAGACCCAACGCAACGCGCTGCGAGGGCGGCGCCTCACGGCGGCGCCGTCTCTGATGTGAGCCCTCTCAGCTTCTCGGGCGCCCCTCGGACGGAGCCTCCTCAGTCGACGTTGACCTCGGCGAGACGCGACTCCTCTTGTGTCTTGAAAGAATTCTGGAACTGCCGAGTAGAGGGGGCGTTCTGCAGTTAAGGGGAAACCCGGTACACGGAGCCCTCTCGGAGACCCGTGTTTACTTTACAGCCCTTGCCCTGCGAACGCGCACCCCCGGGGCTAGGGCTCTCTAGCCCGTAACCCGATACCGATCATCCGGCCCGCTGGATGCGCTTCTCAGCTCACCGGCCCTGGATGTGAGGTTACCGACTGCACTCCAAGTGCTCCAAGTGCTCCCTCACAGCACGCGGGCACGACAAGGGCGCGGCTGGCGCGGACTGGCACACACACCTTGAAATAAGAAACCGCCCGGGTGAAATTCTGAAAAACGTGCAGCACTTCTAGCCGACATCGACAAAAGTCACTCTCTTGGTCTCTAGCCCCGCGGCGAGCGGCCCCGCCGGAGGCGAAGAAAATTTTGCCATCTAGCGCACTCTAACACACATTTTTGCACAAATCGACGCCTCCAAAATAAGTCTTCACTGCAGCACGCCTCGAGCGAGTAATGCGTCTGTAGGCCAATATAATAGAGCTTCTCGCGCGCGCTCCTCAGCTGGCGGTCCGCAGGGCCGCCCGGGCCGGGCGAGAAGCGCAAGTCCGCCAGCCGCACCATGTGATTCACGATGATGAGCGTCTCGGCCTCGAGCAGCGTGTAGGAGCGAAGCTTGCCCTCGCACTCGCGTTGCTCGAGCCTGAGCCACTGCGCCTTGACCACGAGATAGCCCGCGGGGATGGTGTCGGTGTTGACGACCGTGTCCTCGGCCAGCGTGTACGCCTTCCCCTTGAGCACCGCCAGCCAGTAGAGCCCCTCGTGCCTCGAGCGACTGCTCGCGCCGATCTCTGCGCGGCGACAGCGGCCTGGACAAGTCCGGCCAAGTCGGTTACGGGGAGGGCTACTACGAGGTCTTTGCGCGGGGGTGGTCGGGCGCCAGGCGCCCAGTCGATTGCCGCATAGTTCGTCGTAGTAGCCCTATCATAAACCTCTTATTCACACCTTGCACTTTGAAAAAAGAAATATCCGACCTTTGTCGAAGATCCGGAGGGTTTATCAGAGCATCACCCGCCCAGGCTCCCGGTGTGCGGTTGCTGACTGCACTCCAAGTGCGGTTCCGTTGCGTTCGTTTCTTCCTCAAACTTTTTCTTCAGGGTTGTCCGATATTTCGCTTCGTTGCGGCGGGCGCCGTTTTTTTCTTTTCTGGCACAAACGCCAATATATTCTCAAACAAACGTTCAGCTCCTTCCCGTGGCCGCGTCGCCGCCGCTCCCCTCACCCCCCTCCGGCCCCGCCTTCTCCAGCGCGAGGAGGTAGAAGCCGTCGAGCGCCGCAGCGTCCGCCTCTCCGCCCGGCGCCGCGCCAGGCACGCCCAGCTGGTGCGGCGTGAGCAGCTGCATGCCCAGCTCGGAGCCGATCTCCTCGGCCTCCTACAAAAGGCCCTCACGCGACGCGTCACCGACGCGCGCGGCGGCCAAGGCGGCCGCAGGCGGCGGCGGCCTCGAGGGAGGGCATGGTCGAGAGGACAGTCTGCGGGTTGCGGGCCGCCTCGTCTCGCACAAAGGCGGCGCCTACACGAAGCTTCCGAGAAGGCTCCGGGGAGATGGCTCCAGCCCACCGCCTCGTCGCGCACTCCAGCGCCGTTGGCGTGCGCCAGCACGAGCCTCCCCCGCCCGCCCAGCAGCGCCGCCGCCCGCCGCAGCGCTGCCTACAGCCTCGGCTGATCTCGGCTGATACCGGCTGCACTCGCGAAGTCTCCCCTCCGCCAGCAGCGCCGCCCGCTGGTCGCCAAAGAACTGCAGCGCCCCGTTGAAGAGGACCGCGTCGTACTGCGCGGGAGGCGCCGCCGCCGCAGCGGTGAGGAAAGAGCCTTGCTCGAACCGCACACCTGCGGGCCACGGGCGGCGACAGCTGAGCGCGCATCCACCTCGCCGCGCACCACGCAGCCACCGCAGAGCCGCCGGGGTGGGACGCGCGAGCGGCGCGGAGCATGCGGCTCGATAGGTCGAGGCCGGCGTAGCGCGCGGCGTCTGCGCCCGCTTCGCACAAGTATGGCAGGGCAGCGCCGTCGCCGCAGCCGACGTCAAGCACCGCCACGGTGCCGCCCGCACCGCCGCCACCGCCCGCACCGCCCGCCGCACCGCCGCACGCCGCGCTCGCAACGAGGCGCAGCCTCCGCCGGACCTCGGCGGGCGGCGGGCCGCCGAGAGGCATGAAGGCGGCGATGGTGTCCCACGTCAGCTCCACCAGCTTCTCGTGCACGTCCGGGGCGGCGGACGGTCCCTGCGAGTCCTGCATCCGAGCAAACAGCTCGGGCTCCGCCTGCTGCAGCCGAAGGACGCTGTCCTGGAACATGGCCGCCTGGGCCGCGTCGAGGTTGCCGCGCGCCTGACGCAGCACCGCCTCTGCGTCGGCCTCGAGCGCCGCCGCCGCCACCGCTGCCGCGGGCTCCGGCTTCTTGCCAAAACCGCCGCCGCCGCCGCCGCCACTGCCGCCGCTGGGTTTGCGCTTGCTCGCCTTACTGCCGCGGCCCTTGGCCATCACCGGGGTCGCGATGCGGCATGTGGCGGTGGCGATTCGACCACATCGCCTCATTGAAAGCGGTGAGGACGACAGCCAGGCGCAGCCGACGAGCAGCGCGGCTATGGAGGCCATCGGAAAGGGCAAGCAGCAGGAAGGGCAAGCAGTCGGAGGCAGCGCGAAGAAAAGAATTCTCCGGGCCTCGCGATGCGCTCCCCGCTCCCGTTCCCCTGTGTCCCTGATCGTCCTCACAAGATCCTGCTCGTGCAGGTGGGGACCCTGTCCTTCTCCCATCCCTTGTTTGGCGTGTCGTCCCTTTTATTTATTTACAGCCCCACCTGTGAGAACACAAAAAACGAAAACGAGACGTTCGGCGGCGGCTTCTCGCCCACCGCCGTTCTCAAGCTGCGCCGCCTCGCGCGCAAAGTCGCGCGCGGCAGCGTTGACCGCACGGCCTACTCGCCCAAGTACTCGCTCTCTTTTAGAGAGATTTTTATTAACCAACAAGAAATCACGACTCTCACAGTGATTTGGGCTCGGCAGCTTGTTAGCCCTCAGCCGAAGCTGGGGCCGGTCCCGTAGCCGAGAGAGCCCGCGCCGATGAGTTCGACGCGGTCGGGGGGGCCTGCGGAGCCCACCATGCAGAGCGCATCTCTCTCTCTGTTGTGCGAGGCGTGAACCGCGCCATTCGCTCTCACCTGGCAACCCTGTCTGCACGTCTCGCGCGCGCGTGAACAGGGCTCCAGGCCCCAAATTACGTGTGAGTGTTAGAGTTGTTTGGTATTGCTAAAAATCTCTCTCCTGTGAGACAACAAAGAGAGAGAAAGAGAGATTTTTGGCATTACCAAACAACTCTAACACTCACACGTCATTTGGGGCCTGGAGCCCCCGTTTGTTCACCTGTGCCCCTGATGGAACTGATCGTCCTTCCAAAACGCCGTTACGGGTGCAGGTGTGGACCCTGGTCCCTGCCCTCCTCCCCCATCCGCCATCCCTCGTGCTTGTCTGTTCGTAACGCGGTTTGCTGGTCTGGGTTTTCTTTCTTCTTCTTCGCTCTCTCACAGCACGACAAGACTGGGCGCGCAGACTAGCACACTCCACACACACACCGGCACACACGCCTGGGAGAAGAAAAGAATTTTAAACTCCTCGCACTCTAAACCCGCAGGTTTGCGTGTCCGTTTTCATTTTGTCCTACAAGTGTGCCTACTTCCCTAGTTCAGAATCTTGCCACGCCGCCGCAGCGACGCGCGGGAGGCTCCGCGCGCGACGGAGAGAGAGGGAGATTTTGATCTTATTAGCCCTTCCCGCGGCGGAGAGGTTCGAGTCAGGGGAGGAGGAGCTCAGCGCCGGCAGCGGGAAGGGCGTCATGTGCGTGCCGAGGTAGAGGCCGGTGCTGCGGTGCTTCTCGCTCCGGTACTCGCTCGCGTTGATCAGCCTCTCGCGGTGCGCCAGCAGCCTCGCGCCGCACCGGCTGCGTCGCAGCGCCGCCTCGGGGAGGGCCTCGAGCCTCCACAGGTATCTGTTCATGCATGCACGCTTGTCGCGGGCCTGCTCCTCCGCTGGAGCCCACGGCTTGGGCGACCCCCACCAGTGCTCGAGCCGCCACGGCGCGCCGCCCGCCCAAGTGCCGAGCTGCTCCTCGCCGAGGTAGAAGAGGTGCCTGGGAGGAGGCGCCTCAAGCTTAGTGCGCCGGTCCCGAATGGCCGAAGGGAAGGGAACGACGCGCCAGAAGACGCCCTGATCGATGGTTCCTCCCACGTAGTCCCACGCCTGCCGCCTGGACAGCGCCGTCTGGTCGAGCAGCTTGCCGACCGCGCCCAGCCCGACGCCTGCGCCCTCGGCGAGCGCCTCCAGCAGCCGAGGCCGGCGGCAGGCCTCGCGCGGCGTTCCGACGCTGTCGAAGCCGCGCAGCCGGTCGAAGCGTAACCTGTGGAGAGAGAGGGGCAGCTCAGGCCCAGCTTGCCCTCTACGCCACCCCGTCCGCAAGAGGCCGCTGCCGTCGCAGCCGTCGCATCGCGTCGGCGTGCAAGTCTCGGTTGGGCTTGACTAGGAGGAGGCCGGTGTTGAGAGGCGCCTCGTGGTCGAACGTCCCGACGACCGCGAAGCGGCTCTGCAGGAAGCGAGCGGCGGCGGGCCTCCAGTGCTGCAGGATCTTGGCCGCCGCGACCCACGGCCGGCCCGCGTCACCGTACGGATCGACGTCGAGGTCGGTGAAGAGGATGAGCTCGGCGTGCGTGAGCGCAAAGACGTGCAGCTTGAGCAGCGTCTGCCGGAGCACCCACTCGGTGCGTTGGATCTTGTCGCGATTGGCAGCGATGTACTCGGCCACCGCGCCGCTCGTCTCGTCGTTGGGAAGGACGTAGTCGGCGTCGCAGTCCTCGTGCGTCGCAGATATCGCGCCGGACCTCGATCCCGATGCGGTGGTGCGGTTGCCGCTCGCGACGATGATGACCGGCTTGTGCTGTGTCCTCGAGAGCAGCGCTCCCACTCGCACGGCACTTGAGCACCAGAGCAGGAGCGAGCAGTCGAATCTGTGGCTTGGCTGCCACAAGGTGGCGACGGCGAGGGATGGACTGGGCAGCTCGAGGGAGGAGGAGTCGGCCGGGGAGGCGGGCATTTCTGTGTTGGGGGCGCAGATTGCTCCTGTGTGCCAGTCCGCGCCAGTCTGCGTCGTTTCGCGCGAGTTCTTCCGGGGCGGGCAACCTGCAGTTGTAGTCGTCTCGCACTGTGCTGTGAACAGAGCGGCAACCAGCAGCTCTCCGGACGACCGTGGGAGAGCACTGTGCTGCCAGCAACCAACCAACTCGCCGGCGAGCGGAGCGAGCCGAAGAGCTGTGGGCCACGCCTGCCCGCCGGGACCGCGTGCAGGAAGCCGCATCGTCAGCGCCGTCGCAGCATCGAGCGGCGCGTCCTCCCCAACCAGCGGCGTGTATTGCACTATAGGTCGTCGGCTTTGCCGACGGGCGACGTTGTCACGTGGACGGACACAGGCAGGGACGGGCGAACCACGTACCCGAACAAGCATGACCAGCGAGAACGGGGCATTGCACTACATAGTGCGGGACCTTGGGGCAGCAACCAACAACCTGGATGGGGACGGGGTGCTGCGCAACCGACGCCAACCAGCAGCGTTCACAGCACAGTGCGAGACTAGGGTTGCAACCTGGTAAAGAACTCGCTCGCAGTGTGCGGTGAGAGAGGCTTGTATTTTAAGATATTCTTTCCCCCCGCAGCGCCAGGTCTCCCTGCCCTCAGAGTGTGCATTGATGCGCGTCCGACAGCGAAATTCTATTTCTTGCGGCTAGATGCGCAACACATCAAGAGCGGCCGCACACTGCTCGGTACCCCCCCCTGCACACCTAAGCCCATGGCTGACCCCCCCCAGCAGCCTGGGCAGAGCCCCCCCCCCCCAGCAGCAGTAGCAGCAGGGACGGGCTTAGAAGTGCCGTGCAGGGGTACCGTCTACGCGCGTCTACCGAGCACTGTGCCGCTCCAACCAACATGTGAGACAAAGGGTTCACCTTTTGCGGTCTCTACAGATCCCCAAACATGAGATAAAGGTTGGACACCGCTTGGGCCTTGGCACGACTCACCGGAGAGAGAACCTGTCTCGCGCGCACATGAGGCAAGCACATACTCATATACATGTTCACATCTTGTCCTTGTGGAGCCTGTGAGCGCCCGCACCGCACTCTGGGGCCGAGCGCGTCGCTCTCCCGCGGAAATATGCCCCAGCACCGCTCAGACGTCGTCTCCGCCCTTCGGCTCCTCCTCGTCCCAACCGTCCACCTCTCCCCAGCCGCTCTCCTGGCTCCACCTGTCGCCGCCTCCCGCCGAAGACCCGCCCGAGGCACCGCCCGCCGCCTCGGCCTCCCCCGCCGGCTCGGCGGGCGCGAGCGACGCCTCGGGCGGGGCGAGCACCACCCGCTGCTCCGGCGGCGACTCGTCCTCGTCCCCCCACCCGTCCACCTCGCCCCACCCGCCAGAGGCTGCCCGGTCCGCCTCCCAATCCTCCTCCTCCTCCGCCGCCGCTGCCACCGCCCCGCCGTCGCCTCTGTCAGCGGCGGTGGCAGCGACAGCAGCGACAGCAGCAGCAGCACAAACAGCGCCGCCGCCAGCCGCGTCGCCGCGCCGCTCTTCCAGCCGCCGCTCGGCCCCTCGCGCCGGCGCCGGCGCCTCCTCCTCGTCGGGCTGCGGAGCAGGGGCGGGGGCGGGTCAGAAGGAGGGGGTGCCGCCGTCCGCCCGGCGGGCAGCGTGCACCTCGGTGTGCCACGCGATGCTCGCCTGGGCCGCCTGCGTGCTGAGGCCCGCGTGCTGGCTGCCCGTGTGCTGGCTGCCCGCGTGCTGGCTGCCGAGGCTCGCACTCGCCACCCGCGCCGCCGGCCGCGCCTCCTCCCCCCACGCCCCCCCCCACTCGTCCTCCTCGTCGCCCCAGCCTCGCTCGGCGCTCTTGTCGCGCGTCGGGCTCCACCCGCCGCCCTCGCCGCTGGCGCGCGGCGAGTGGGGCGCGGTGTGCCGCGTCCGCACCGCGCCGCTCAGGCCGACCCTCGCTGGCCGGCACGCCGCCGCGCCGCCGCCGCCCTCGACGTCGGGCGGGTTGAGGTCCTCGAGCTCCTACAGAAGCGACCCTCGAGCCGTCGGCCCGCACCGCAAGTGGGCCAGAGGGGGAGGGACGCCCCTCGCGCGCCTCTGCCGGCGCGCCGATCCGCGCCGAAATGGCGGCGAGGCTGTCGGGGAGCGAGCGGACCTTTGCCACGCACGCCTGCAGCGGGCGGCGGAAGCGGAGGCCGAGGGCGACCGCTCCGCCGAGGACAAACAAGTACCTGCTCCGGCCCCGATGGCGTGAGGCGCGTGGGACTGGGTGGGAGAGGCGCCTCGCGCGAAGGAGGGGGCGGGTCGCCTCGCCATGACGAAGCTCGACGAGCCCGTCGGCTGCGGGGGCAGCGATCGCGAGCCCGAGAGCGGCAGCTGCTCCGCTGGCACCTACCGCGGCCGGTGCGCAGGCGTCAATGTGTGAGGGGTCGTGCGACAGCAGAGTCCGCTCTGCCGGTGCCGGGTCCGAGTGGGACTTGTCCGAGTGGGACTTGCCCGAGGGCCTCATCTCCTGGGCGAGCCGCTCTGCCCGACGGCAAATCTCCTACAGACGAGGAGGTGAGGTGTCGCGGACAAAGAGCAGGGCGGCGACCCGCGCGACGGCAGCCCGCCTCAGAAGCGAGGCACGGCGGTGGCGGAGCGGCGGCGGCCGGAACTGCAGCAGCGGCGGCGGCAGCGGCGGTGGTGGTTGCGGCGGCGGCCGGAGTGGCGGCGGCGGCGGCGGAGGTGGAGGAAGAGGTGGAGGAGGAGGAGGTGGAGGAGGCCCCTCCGATGAAGCTGCTCGACGCCGCCGTCGCCGTCTGCTGGGGAGGCGCCACCTCAGGCGCCACCTCAGGCGCCACCTCAGCGGGCGGGTTCACCTCAGCGGGCGGGGTGACGAGGACGGGCTCGAGAGGCCGCTCTTGCTCAGGGGCCGCCACCACGGCCGGGGCCTGCTCATCCGCGGGCGCAGCGGCTGTTGCCGCCAGCCCTCCTTTGCTCGCCGCGGGGTCCGCCTCTGGCACCGGAAGAGCCGCCTCCACGGGCGGCGTCGACGCAGCCGCCAGTAGCTGCTCTGCCGCAGCGCTGGTCGCCCGTTCCGCAAGCACGGGCGTTGCTGCCGCCGCCGCCGCCGTCGCCGTCGTCGCCGCCGCCGCCGCCGCCGCCGCTGGCAGCGTCGTCACCGACGGTGTCGCCTAAGGACAGCCACACTGCTCTGAAGAGGTTCGCTGCCAGCGGTCTCTGTGGCGCTGCGAGTCGCCTCGACAGCCACGCCGACATCTTGCAGCAGCGAGGTTGCGAGCGAGGCGGTGGCGAGCCGCGCCGCGAGGCTGGTGCGGACCTTCTCCGTCTCCTCGCCCGCTGTGGCCACGCTCACCTCGAGGAGCACGCTCGCGGCAGTCACCGCCACCTTGACGTCCTCCGGCCGCACGCCGGCCGCCGACGCAATCTTGCCACCGATGGCCGCCTTCTTGCCGCTGTCGAAGTCGCTCACGGACCCGGAGGCGACGAGGCGGACGACCACCTTGTCTCGCGCGGCCGGCGGCTCCGGAGCCTTAGCCGCAGGCGCCTCTCCTCCGGCGGCAGCCGAGACGGCGCCTCCCAGGGCGGCTCCCGCGACGGCGGCGGCCGGCTCGGAGCCGGTGGCGGCGGGCGGTGCAGCGGCCGGCGCTAGCGCGGCCGCACTGCTGTTGCCTGGCGAAGGCTGCGTCAACGGCGAGGCGGCCGAAGCGGCCGAAGCGGCAGGATTGGCGGCAGGGCTGGCGGCGGCGGCCGCCGCCGCTGATGCGGCAGGTGGCGTCTGCGCCGGCACCGGCACTGGGATGGGCGCTGGCACCGATGCCGACACCGACACGTTACCCGTTGCCTCCTTTGGCTTTGCCGCCTGGGCGAGTATGGCTGCTGCCGCGGCGGCAGCCTCGGGCGGCAAATGCAGGGCGGCAATCACCTTTGCCACCGCCGCGGAGTCCTGGCTGGCCGCGGAGATCGCCGCGGAGGTCGCCGCGGAGGTCGCCGCGGCGGGAGGAGCGGACGAGACGATGGCTGAGGTAGCGATGGGGACGGGCGGCACAGCGACGGCGGCGGACGGCAGCACGGTGGCGGCGGTGGCGGGAGGGGCTACGGCTGTGGCAGGGGTGGCGGTGGCGGTGGTGGAGGAGGTGGCGGTAGTAGCGGCGGGGGCTGGAATCGCGGCGCCCGCGGGGGAGGTTGCGGCGGCGAGAGGGGTGGCGGTCGCCGAGGGAGCAAGTGGTGTGGCGGCTGCGGCGGCGGTCGGTGTGGTTGAGGCGGTGGCGGTGGCGGTCCCGGAGAGAGCGGTGGTCGGGTCCGGGAGAGGAAACTGCGCGGAGCCGGCGGCGTCGCTGAGCGGCAGAGGAGAGAGGGCCTCAGGAGAGAGGGCTGGCTCGGGCTGTGGCGCGGCTCTCTTCTGGGCGAGGCTGCGGAGGAGCGCCTTCTTCTCCTGCTCGGTCGGCTCGCGCCTGCCCACACAAGCCGCACGGTGACAAGAGGCGGCCCTGCCCGCCGCCGCCCTCTGAGGCCCCGGCCGCGCCGCTCTCGCTCGGCGAACTGGCTCAGCGCCGCCGCCTCGTCGCGCGCGCGCTGGACGGAGGCCGCCTGAGGCGGCGGCGGCGCAGCGGAGGTGGCTCGCCCCCCCGAGGCGGGAGGGAGGGAGGGGGCGAGGAGGGGGGGAGGGGAGGTGGGGGGGGGCGGAAGGGGGCGGGCTCGCCTCCCGAGCCTGCCTCCTCTTCCTAGGCGCAGTGTCTAGGAAGTGTCTAGGAAGTGTCTAGGAAGTGGCTCGCCTCCCGAGCCTGCCTCTTCTTCCAGTAGGCGCAGCAGCGAGGGCCGCACGACGGGCCGCACGCACTCCCCTCCCCCTCCGTGGCCTCCGTGCCGTTCGTGGCGAGGGCGGGCGCAGACTCCACGCCGGCAGGTGTGGCGGCGGCGGCAGGCGCGGAGGCGGCGGCGGGTGTGGCGGCGGCGGCAGGTGTGGAGGCGGCGGCAGGCGCGGAGGCAGCGGCGGGCGCGGCGGCGGCGGCAGGTGTGGCGGCGGCGGCAGGCGCGGAGGCAGCGGCGGGCGCGGCGGCGGCGGCAGGTGTGGCGGCGGCGGCAGGCGTGGAGGCAGCGGCGAGTGTAGCGTCGGCAGCAACGGCATCGGATGCGGCAGCCGCGGCGGGCGCTGAAGCCGCGCCTCTGGCAGAGTCGCTGGTGAGGGCTGCTGCGGTGGCTTCTGGGGTCGCTGCTTGGGGTGGAGCAGCGGAGGTCGTGGCGGTGGCTGCGGTGGAGGTGGGTCTGGCTGCGGCGTCCGTGCCACCCGCGAGAGGGGTGGCGGTTGCGGCGGTGGCAAGAGCGGAGGAACCGGCAGGGACCGAGTTGGTACCCAACCCGCCGCCGAGTGCGGCCGCGGCTTGCGCAGGCCGAGGCATGGCTGCGGCAACCGAGGCGACGACGGGAGGAGCTGCCGCGACTGCCGCCGCGGGTGCGGCCACGGCTGCAACGACGGGCGCCGCGGCCAGTGCCCCGTCTGCGATGGGCTGTGCGATGACAACTGGCAGGTCGGCGATCAACGGCATAGGCACTTGTGCAGCGGCGCTGGTGGCGGATGGAGTGGCAGCCACGGCTGCCGCGTTCGCACCGACACTCGCAGAAGCAGCTGCGGCCGTGGAGGCGGGAGCAGCCGCCAGCGCAGGAGTGTCAAGGCTGACAGCAGCGCGCGAGATGTTGAAGAGCGGCTGCCGCTGTGCTGCTACTGGCAGCGCGGTGGCGCCGACGAGGATGAACGTGATGGTGTACGAGGTGCCAGACCGCCCGGTGCGGCGCGCGCCGCCGCGAAAGAGCATGACTTCGGTCGCGCTTGCGTGGCGCGCGTGAAATTTTCTTTCGTCAGGGTGTGCCAGCCGCTTCTCGACGAGGCGTCGGCGGTCAAGCCTGAGGCGGCAACCTCGCTCCTCAAGGCGGCCTCAGCCTGGTGGAGGCCCTTGGTGGAGGGAGAGGCCCAAAGATGAGAGTCGTGGCTTGTGCGCTGGATGAGCTGCTGGCGCGCGCGGGCGCGCGCGGAGCGGGAGAGCAGAGAAAGTACGTTCATAAAATTGAGAGACACACGCAGGCCCGGAGTGTCTCAGTGCGTGCTGACTGTTGTGTGATACACAGTGTGGGGTGGGGTGTGCGTAAGGTAAGGTAAGGTATTCTCCACACACACAAAAAAAAACTGTTCAGTTTTCAAAGGCAAAAACGCCGGCGTACGCCCTCCCCTCACACTGACACTTCTCCCCTATTCCTAACTTTAGGTTGCGCACGTCTCCCAGCGAGCTAGGATCTCCGCTTTTTCTCCCCTAGTCATCCGCCCGCGCCGCGCGCCTCTATGGGCGTCTAGTGCAGCCACTGACAGAACTATTCCCGAGGAGTGGTCGACGTCTCGCCTGAAGTTGGGTGGGCTCGCGCACTGCTTAGCCCTAGGGGAGGGGTGTGTGTGAGGTGGTGGAATGGTAAGGTTTCAGGCCACAGGGGTGGGGGATTTGGGGGATGAGTCAGGAGCCAGCAGCCTTCCTACTGGACCTGAGTTCTCAGCTCTTCCGCCCGACGGGGTGGTCCCTTGGATTCGGGCCCCGCTCCCTTTTCCTGCGCCTGGTCTGTCCCTGTCATGAGTGTGTTGCGAGATGCAGAGCTGGTTAGGCTGGAGCGCGGGCGGTGCGGTGGCAGGCGAGGGCAGCGCGGTAGGCGAGAGGCGGCCGCGGGGCTTCGAGTGGCGCGATAGTTGGGTAGGCTGGGTGGCTGTGGAGGGGCGCCGCGTGGCCTCGGCAAATGAGTAGTGCTTTATGAGCGGCCAGTTTCGTGCGTATTGCAAATCGAGCCTGGGGCGTGGCCTAGTTGGTGCAGCGTTCGGGTCGGGGGCGTTTTGGTCGTTGGTTCGAGCCCAGCTGGTGCAGTTCGTAGTCGCGCAGCGACCGCGGGCGCGCGGGTGCGCGGCAGCCTCGGCAACCGAGGCGACAGTGGCGAGCAGTGGCGAGCAGTGGCGAGCAGGGGTCAGAGCAGTGCGGCGCGCCGGATTTTTTTGATGGGCTCGGTCAGTGGGCGTGTCAGGAGGCGGCCGGCCGGGAGAACTCGGCAGTAAAACTCCCGCGCCGGCCCAGGAGGTAGGAGTGTCATGGAGGCGGCCATTGGCGCGCGCTCCTTGTCTACGTGGGTCCGAGTTTTTTCCTCCACACACACAAAGTGGTGGGGCAAGGGGGGGCGACCCTCGCATCTCCACACCCGGACACGGGCAGGAGCCCCACGGCATTCAAAGTGCAAGCACTGGCCCGGTGCACGTGGGTGAGCAGCCTGCCCCTCCCTCCCGACAAACCAACTCCCGCACACACACAATCGCACTCTGGCCATCGAATGACTCCGAATGACTCACTGTGTGTGCTAAGACAGAATCTCCGCAGACATCCAAAACGGGCCGTGTGCCGCGTTTGTGGTTGTCTTCTCAAGCACTAGCATCCGGGGTGTGCGGGGTGCTGTGTGCATGTTGCATGTTATGTGCGGTGCTGTCTCTCGCTGCTCTCTCTCGCGCGTCGAGTTTTGTACATGGATGGTTGGCACTCATTTCCATCCAACGCCAAGCACTCGACACAATCTCGCACCGCATCGCCGACGCTCACATCTCACAATCGACCTGCGCTCTATTCTCGCGCGGGCGGCAGCCGGGCGGCGGCCTCCTCGCCATCGGCCTTCAGCGCAGCGATGGCCTCTACGGCGCCTCCACACTCATCGAGGTAATACGCCGCCTCCGCGAGCCCAACGCCGCCGCGCCGGCACACCAGTCGCAGCGCCTCGGCCCTCTCCGCCTCTGGCGTTGGGGGCGGGGCTGGCGCGACGTAGAGGCGCTGGCCGGCGTAGACGCTCGGCGAGAGCATCTTGTTCCAGCGCTTCAGCTGCCCGACAGTCATCCGGTGCCGCAGCGCGATGCTGGAGAGCGTGTCCGCCACCGACACAATGTACACGGCGGCGTCGTCGGGCGCGCCCGTCGGGCAGGGCCGCCCCTCGACGATTGGCACGCCCTTGGCAACGGGCACGTCAGTGGAGCCTCGCCGGCGCAGGCCCGCGCTGCCACCGGCCTGGTCGAGAGCGGCCTCAGTCGCCGCGCACTGGAGGTGCAGCGCTGCAGTGCGGCAGCCCTCACTGCGCTCGACTTCAGAGTGGCAGCACGACCAGCGATTGGAGAGGATCAGATGGCCGCCGTGGAACTTCCCCGGGTGGTAGACGCAGGCCTCGTCGGCGCCCGCCTCGTACATTCGGCCGCAGCGACGGCACCGAGAGAGCATTCCACAGCGGTCCGAGTGCGTCCGGCGTCTAAACTTCTTTTTTTGGCAGACAGCAAGTTGGTGTCCAGTGAGAGAGAGAGAGAGAGAGAGAGAGAGCGCCAATGGCAGTTATCCGTTAGTGCGGACGTCGCCGCGGCTCGCCTCTGCCGCGGCGGCTGCTGCGCGCACGCGGCGGCGCCGCTCTCTCGCGAGACGGCTGGTGACGCGGCTCGCGGCCGACGTACGCTGCGCTCGTCGGACCGCCCGCGGCGTGGCGTGCGCGGCGCTGCGCGCCGCTCTGCGAGCGCTTGTGCGCTGCTGTCACACTGCACTGTCTCTCTGGTGCTGCTGGTGGTGGTGATGTTGCTGATGCTGTTGCATATGCTGCTGCTGGCGCGGCGCGGCTCTGCGACTCGGCTCGAGACGCGCGTCGGGAGCAGCTGACACGGCGGCGTCGGGCAGGTTGCGCCTCTCTCTGGTGCTGGTGGTGCTGGTGGTGCTGGTGGTGCTGGTGCTGATGCTGCTGCTGATGCGGCGCGGCTCTCCGACTGGACTCGAGGCGCGTGTCGCGGCAATCCGACGCGGCGGGCGGCGTCGCGGGCGGCAGCGGTGGCGGCGTCGATGGTGGAGGTGGAGGCTGGTGGCTGGTGGACTTTGAGTTTATTTCATGATGGACTACGACATCTGGGGGGTCAACCGGGAGGCAGGGGGTTCGACCTGGCGACGGAGGACCGTGGGCCATCGCGGGGACTGCTGCGTACGGAGGGCGCGGCAGATAGATCCGGATGGTCTCACCCGGTGGGAGGCACCGAGGCGTCTGGGACGCTCCACTCTACCTTAAGCTCCTGAGGGGCGCGTGGTTCTAACCACGTAGTACGACTACAGCCCACCACAGACACCCTCCCTCTCCACACGTGTGCACACACCCTCACCCTCTCCCCTCTCCTCTCTCTCTCTCTCTCCTCTCTCTCCTCTCCTTGTCTGTGCTGTCTGCCTGACTCAGGCACTAATTCTGCCGATGCGTGATTGTGTGTGGGCTGCTCCGAGGGGGCCCTGTGCGATCCGATGGGTAGGGAGTCTGTGCCCGGGCGGTGTCCGGTGCGGAGTCTCTCTCTGATCCCACCTGTGGTGTTGGGTGTGAGGTCGTGGAAGCTTCGATCCCAAGGGGGGGAGCCGAGCCCACTCATAACCAACTCTCAGGGGCAGTAGGTGGGCGAGCCTCGAGCGCGCTCATCTCGATCGTCAAGGCGTCGCTACGCGCGGTCTTCCGCGGGGGGAGCTTCGTCGACGGGTGCGGGAGCGCGGCGCAGCCAGTGCCGTGGCGATGCCTCCGGCTGTTTGTGGCGGGCGGCTTGCTGCTCGCTGCATGGCGAAAAACTCGTCTCGCCACACGCCAAGGGCTTATGCTCTGGCGAGACGTGAGGCGCATGCGCCCAGGATGGGAGGGGGCATGCGTAACGACACTGCTAGAGATGCCTTTCGGGGCCCAGAGATAAAACTTCTGTGATGCCATGCGTGACCTAGTAGTGTCCCCAGCTATGGGCGTGTCCACGTTGGAGCCAGGTGTGGTGTGGGCGCGAGAATAGCTCCGCCGTTCATGGAGGCAACCGATGCGAGTCGACTGGTGTGTGTCGTCGTGGTTTCGTATCAAGAATTCTCTCTCTCTCGGTGTCCAGTCCGAGCCTGGCTGTTCTTCACCTTTCTACCTACCTACCTAGCAAGTGCAAATAGTCCCCACAGACACTGTCGTGGGATCGCTTCTCATCGGGGAGTGAGTTCTTTACCAGGTTGCAACCCTAGTCTCGCACTGTGCTGTGTGTCTTGGGTCCGTGGTTGTGTTTTTGTGTGAACAGAGCCGTGGTTGTGTTTTCGTGTGGGACCCCGTGTTGCATGTCTGACTGTCTGTGTGCGATTTCGGGCCCGGGGTTGTGCGTTTATGTGAAACCACTCGCAACAGCTCTCGCGCGCCGCCGTCAGTGGCGATGCGCAAAACATCAACAACGCTGCTCGCAACATGCGTGTCGCGCACTCATTCATGACCGGTCTCAATGCCCCACCCCCCTGCGCGCGGGCCTTCTAAGCCCGCGGGTAGTCCCCCCCCATCCCCAGGGCCTCCAGGGCTCGCACCTCAACCTCTCACAGGCCAGCGCACAGCGCCATAAGAGGTATTTTCTTCTCAATAACAAGGCTGTGAACAGAGCACCAACCAACAAGAAATCACGACTCTCACAGTGATTTGGGCTCGGCAGCTTGTTAGCCCTCAGCCGAAGCTGGGGCCGGTCCCGTAGCCGAGAGAGCCCGCGCCAACCAACCAGCTCTCCAGGACCCCCCGGTGCAACCAACCAACTCGCCGAAGAGCTGGGGCCTGCATGCGCATGTGTGTGTGTGTGCCACTCATCGCCTTGCTCCTCTCGCCACTTACAACCGCATCCACTGCCAAGAGGACGGCCTGGGTGGTTGAGTCTCCTGCGTTCGCCGCCGCGGTGCGCTCCTCGCTCTCCACGTCGTGGGAGCTCAAAGATTGCAGCGCCAACGGCGCAGGCTGCGCCGTCTCGCTGCCCGACGCCGAGGTGGTCATCGGCAGGGCGGACGCCCTCGACCTGACCAGGCTGCCGCGGCTCAAGCTCGCGCAGTCGTCCACCTATTTCTACGCCGCGCCCAAGGCGGTGCCGTCCCGCGCCGCCATCGCCACGGCCACCGGCTTCTGGCCGCAGCGCGGCGTCGAGCAGATCGCCGAATGGTGCATCGCCGCCATCTTCCAGGACGTGTACCGCCTCGCCGCCGCCTCGGCCGCCTTTGTCGAATGTGCTTTCGCCGCAGAGGCGCCTTCGTCCTGCGCCGCGGCGTCCGAGGCGACCAACCACACCATGGTGTCTGACCTCACCATCGGCATTTACGGATACGGGCGGATAGGGTCTGAGGTCGCCAGACGCGCTGCGGCGCTCGGCGCGACTGTGATCGGCACCAAGCGTTCCGGCCCCTTCGTCCCTCCGCCCCCACCGCTCAAGTGGCTGTCCCCAGACAACGACCGGCTGCTGCGAGAGGCGGACGTGGTCGTGCTGACGGTGCCGGGGACGGGCCACGCCTCCACCGCGGGACTGGTCAACCGGACGAGTCTGCTGCTGATGCGGCCGCACGCACTGCTCGTGCCGGTGAGCGCGGGCCCGATCAACTTCGGCGACCTCGAGGCCGTCCTCCGCGACGAGCGGCCGAAGCAGCGGGCGGTGATCGACACGTGGCCCGGCGGCTGCTGGCACTACCCGAACGCCTCCTGCGGCCCGCCCCTCGGCCCGCCCGACTTCCCCGGCTCGCCCGTCCTCGCGAGACTGCCAAACGTGCTGCCCCTCCCCTCGCTCTCGATGCGCGACGCGGCCTACTGGCGCTCCGCCGCGGACTCGGTCGCGAGGAACTTGGACGCCCTCGCCAACGGCAAGCCGCTCGAAGGAGTCGTGAGGAATGCGAGCGATGTCGTGTCCGTTATTTGAAAAACACCAAGACTGATTACGACAGCTATATACAGTGTAAAAAGTACACATATCTCACAATATATGTGTGCAGCGATACAAATAAAAAAACGCTAGCTCACGATTACGTACACGCTGAGCTACAGTTCATGATCATCACGCACACGACCACCTGGACCCTGCTCATCCACGCCACTCGCTGCTGCTGCTCCGCGCGCCACCTCGAGCCGCTCGAGCTCGGCCTGCGCCTGCGCGTAGTTGTACTTGAGGTCCTCGACCTCATCGAAGAACTCGGGCGTCAGCGCGGCCAGCTCCTCCGCGAGCGCGTTGCGCTCGGCTCGCAGTGCCTGAGGGGAGGGCCGGCACGGCGGGTGAAACCGCCAAACCAGCGAGCAGAGGAAGAGGCCGGGGGGGGGGGGGGGCGTGGGTGCACACCTCGTGCTCGGTGTGGAGCTGCGCGAGCGCAGCCTCCAGCCGGTTGGCGTACTCGCCGCCTCGGCCCTCCTCAAGAGAGGGCTGCGCGGCATGGAGGGCTCGCTGCTGGGCCGCCTCCAGCTCCGCCGCCATCCGGCCGCCGTCGGCAGAGAGCACCTGCGGCGAGGGCAAGCCGCTCAGCGGCCGCTCGTCCCCGCGCGCAGGAGCGCGTCGGCGAGGGGAGTGGCGCGCCTCGGCCCGGCGGGTCGCCTCGTCTGCGGCGGCGAGCGCCTCCTGCAGCTGCGTGCCCAGCTCCACCACCTGGCCTCCCTTGTGGAGCAGCTCCTCGCGCGCCTCCCGCAACGCCTCCTGCAGCCGCTCCACCGCCGCGTCGCCCGCGCCCGTCGCGCCGGCGGCCGCCAGCGCCTCCTCCGCCGCGGCGCGCGCCTGCGCCTCGTCGGAGAGCCTCTGGCCGAGCGCCTCGCTGCGCGCCTCCTCCGCCTTGAGCGCTCTCCGCGCCTCGTCTCGCTCGCGGCAGTACTTGCCCGCGCGCTCAATCTCGCTGCGCGCCGCCGCCGCCTTGGCCGCCGCCGCGTCGAGCTCGATCTGCAGCGCGGCGGCGCGCGCCTTGTGCGCCTTGGCCTCCTTGGTCAGCCGCACGTGCTCGACGTTGCTCACCGTCTTCTTCTGCAGCGCCGCGTTCTCCGCCTGCAGCCGCTGCACCACTCGCCCCATCCGCTCCACGACGGCACTCGCCTCCTCCCGCCCGCCGCCCGCCGCGCCACCTCCTCGGCCGCGGCCTCGCCCGCCGCCGCCGCCACCGGCCCGGCCCGACTGGCTGCTTGCGGCGAGGAGCACGGCCTGGTATGCGGTGAGGTCGCCCACCCTCGCCTGTCGCTCCGAGAGAGGGAAGTCGTCCCGTCGCCGAGGGTCTGTGAGGGCCAGGGGAGGGAGGGCCGCCTCGCGCCTGCAGCTGCGCCTCCCTCAGCCGCAGCGCCTCGGCCTCGAAGGAGAGCTGGAGAGCGCGCTCCTCCGCCGCAACCAGCCGCGCCGACGGGGGAGACTCGTCGTCGCCGCCCTCGTCGCCGTCGCCCTTGCCGTCGCCGCCCGCCGCGGCACCGCCGCTTCCGCCGCCGCCACCGCCGCCCTCCTCGCCGCCGCCGCCGCCGGACGCGGCCGCTGGCACGCCCCCCGTGGCCTGGCCCGCAGCCTTGCCGGAGGGAGCGGCCGTCGCCTCGTGGAGCGCCTGCTGCGCTGCGGCTAGCTCGCGTGAGAGAGCCTCGCGCGAGCGCATCTCCTCGAGCGCCTCCGCCACCGCGCTCGACTTCTCCACCCCGTGGCGCGCCGCCGCCTCCTGTGCGCGGGTCGCCAGCCGGCGCGTCCCCTCCTCGCGTGCGAGAGCCTCCGCCAGCTGCTCCCGCGTGCGCGCAAGCTCCGCCTGCGCCTCCGAGAGCTGCGCCGTCTTGTCCTGCAGCTTGGAGCGAAGCACCTCGAGCCGCCGCTGCAGCCGCTTCTCCGCTTCCCACCTCTCGACGGGGCCAGAGGCGTGCGATGCCGCCCTTGCACCGGCGCTGCCCCCGCCGCCCCCGCCGCCCCCGCCGCCCCCGCCGCCGTTGGCAGCCGTGACCGCGGCCGCTGCCTTGAGCTGGTGCAGCTGCTTCTCGGCCTGCCGGAGCTGCGAGCGGAGCCGGTTCGCCTCGGCGACCGCCAGATCACGGGCCGCCTCCACCTTCCTCACCTTGGCCGCCTCGACGTCCTCTCCCCCGTCCGCCGCGCGCTGCGCGTCGCCCGACGATGCCCTCGCCGCCTGCGCGGCCGCCCGCTGCTCCGCCACGCTCGCCGCCCTCTCCCGCGCCGCCTCCATCTCGACGCGCACCTCCCCGATCGCCTCCTGCGCGTGCTTCCACCGCTCGCGCTCCTGCGCCACCGCCTGCGCCACCGCTGCGTCCACCGCCGCCTGCACCATCGCCGCGCTCGCGCCCACCGCCGGTGACGGCACCTCGACGTCGGCCCCTTCGATCGTGTTGAGCGCGTGCGTGCGCAGGGCGAGCTGCGAGGCGAGCGTCGTGTTCGCCTGCTCGGCCCGCTCCGCGCGGCCCGCCGCCTCCCTCACGAGGGCGCGCATCCGCGCCGCCTCCTCCGCCTGCCGCGCTGCGAGGCCCTCTGCCTCGAGCAGCTGCGGCTCGAGCGCCTCGGCGCGCGCGCGCGCCGCCTCCTCGCGCGCCTTGAGGTTGCGCGTCTCGTTGATGAGCTTCGTGTGCCGCTCCTGCAGCACCGTCAGCCGATCGCCCAGCCGCTCCTCTGCCGCTTGGTCCGCCGCCCGCGCCTCGAGCCGAGTGGAGAGCTCGTCGGCGCGCGCGGCGCGCTCGGCGTTCTCCTTGGCGACGAGCTGCATCTCCTCGCGCAGCTCCGCCATCGCGCCCCGCATCCGGCTCAGCTCCGAGTCCTTGCGCCGCGCCATCGAGCGGAGCTGCGAGAGCTGCGAGCTCATCGCCGAGGTTGGCTCACGCCGCCGCTCCGCCTCGACCGCCGAGCCGAGCCGCTCCATCTCCTTGGCCTGCTCCTCGAGCCGCTGCCGCAGCTCCTCGACCCGCTGCCGCAGCGAGGCGGCCTCGCGGCCCGCCCCCTCGGCGTCGACCGTCAGCTTGGCGATCACCGCGTCCTTCTCCACGAGCAGCTCCTCGAGCTGCTCACACGGCAGCGCCGAGCCCGCCGCCGCCCTCACCTTCGGCGCCTCGTCCGCCTTGGCGAGCTCGGACTGCAGCTCGACGATCCCGGAGTGCTGCAGCTGGTAGAGCCGCTCGTGCAGCCGCTCCACCTCGGCCGCGCCGGCGGCCTTCTCCTTGCGCAGCGCCTCGCGCGACGCCTCGAGCATGCCGCGGTACCGCTCCTCGCTCTCCTCGTGCCGCCGCACCTTTGCGTGCAGCCCGCGGATCGTCTCCTGGGCCACCGAGCTGACGCGCGACTGGCGGCCGCCCGCGCCCGCCGCCGCCGCCAGCGCGAGCTCCGTCGCACTGCCGACGCTCTCCGCCGCCTCGCGTGCCTCCGCGGCGTGGCCCTCCTGGAGCTCGCCGATCAGCGCCACCTTGCGAGCGAGCGCCTCGCTCTCCGCCGCGAGCTCCGCACGCGCCTCAGCGAGCTCCGCCTTGGCCGAGTTGAGCTCGGACTGGGCAAAGGTGAGGTCGCTCTGCTTCGCCGCCAACTGCGCCTGCAGCTCGAGCACGGTCTCGCTCTCGGCGGCTTCCGCACCGCCGCCGGCAGCAGTGGCTGCCTCCGCCTCGCCCTCGACCGGCAGAGGCGTGTGGACCAGCCGGCTCCGGCTGCGGAAGGCGAGCGGCGCCTCCTCCGTCGGAGTGCTCGCAGGCGCTCCCTCCGCCGAGCGCACGGCGGGCGAGGAAGCGGTGGGGGCCGCCGCCGCCGCCTCCGCCGCGCCCGGCGCTGCCGCTGTGGCGGGAGCGCGCGCGACCGCCTGCAGCGCCGCCTGCGAGACCTTGGCGCGCATCTCCGAGAGCTCCGAGAGGAGAGACGCCTCCCGACGCGCCGCCTGGCGTGCGGCCAGGCTCGCCTTGTCCTGCGCGCGCACCAGCTCCTCCTCGAGTCGCTCGCGCGCCGCCGTCGCCTCCGCCACCGCCTCCGCCTCGCGCCTCTCGGACCGCTCGAGCGCGGCGGCGCGCCGCTGCAGGCGCAGCTCGGCCACCTTGTGCGCGGTCTTCTCCTCCGCCAGCTGAGCGAGCGTCACACGCTCCGCCGCCTCCTCTGGCGTGCGGCCCTCCTGCAGCGAGGCGAGCCGCCCCGCCGCCTCCGCGCGCTCGGCCGCGCCCTCGTCCAGGAGGGTGGCGAGCAGCGCGCGCTGGTCCTCGTCGCGCGCCTTGGCGGCGGCCAGCTCGGTGACGAGCGCCTCGCGCTCGCCCGCCGCCTCGCGCGCGGCGCTCATCGCCTCCGCCGCCCGCCGCGCCGCGTCCGTCGCCTTGGCGGTGGCGGCCTCGAGCTGCGACAGCGGCACGTTCGACGCGGCCTGCGCGCGAGCCTCGGAGAGGGCGCGACTGTGCTCTTGCTCTGCGACGGCGAGCCGCGCCGCCGCGTCGTGCCCGGCGGCGGCGGTCGCGTCGATCTCGAGGTGCGCGCGGTGCAGCGCCGCCTGCACGTGGTGGAGCCGGCCCCGCGCCGCCGCCTCTCTCTGCTGCGCCTCGCCCGCCTCCCGCTTGGCCGTGATCACCTCCCACTGCATCGCGCCGAGCTCGACCCCTTCGTCGGACGCAGCCTGCAGCTGCAGCGTCGCCGCGCGCAAGGCGGCGTTCTCCTTCTCGTCCAGCTGCGCGCGCGCCGCAAGCTCGGCCGCCTGGCTCGCAGCGATGCGCTCCGTCTCCCGCGAGCTAGCCAGCTCCGCCCGGACCACAGACAGCTCGAGCTCCAGCGCCGCCACCTCGCGGGCAGAGCCGCCAGCCTCTGTCGAGCCGCCGCCGGCGGCGGACGCCGCCTTTGCGGCATTCAGCGCCGCCTCGGCAGCGACGGCGCGCTCCTGCGCCGAGAGCAGCTCCGCTCGCATCTCCGCCACCGGCGCCTCGACCACCTGAAGCCGCTCGGCGAACGCCGCGCGCTCCGCCTGAGCCCGGGAGAGCACGCCCTCCGCCGCCTCGGCGCGGCTGAGCGCCGCAGCCTCTGAGATCTGGAGCGCCGCGACCTTCGCCTCCAGCGCTGCCACGGCGGCGCCGCCGGCGCGGTCGGCGGTGGCGGGGCGGCGACCCGGAGCCGACTCGTTGGTGCCGAGCGAGCGAGCCGACGCGGACCTCGTCGGCGAGGCGGGCACAGAAGGCCGCCGGCCGCCGGAGCCGCTTGCACGGCCGGCGCCGTCGCCGCCGCCGTCGCCGCCAGCCGCGGCGCCGTCCGCACGAGAGGGCTGGAAGTGGAGCAGGGCGGTGTGGGCCTCGGCGGCGGCCTGGGCGGCGGCGTGCGCGCTGGCCTGCGAGACTGCGAGCTGCTCTCGCAGGGTGGCACCCTCGGCGCGCAGGGCGACCGCCTCGTGCTCCGCCCCCGCGCTGCGCGAGGCTTGGTCGGCGGCGGAGCGGTAGGCGCGCTGCAGCGCCTCACGCTGCGAGCGCTCCGCCTCGAGCTCCTCGCGCGCCGCCGAGCCGAGCAGCCGCCGGTTCGCATCCGCCAGCCGCGCCTCGAGCTCGCGACGCGCCCGCTCGAGCCGCGCCACCGCCGCCGCGCTCTCCGCCTCCGTCTCGCGCGCCGCGGCGTCGCGCGCGGCGCGCCCCTCTCTCAGCCCCGCCAGCTCGGACGCCTGCGCGCGCAGCTGCCGGTCCGCCTGCAGCTCCTTGACGCGGATCGCCGTCAGGCGGCGGCCCATCGAGGCGAGGGCGGCCCGCTGCTCCTCCTCGTCCGACGCCTCGATCGCCGCCGCCATCGCCGACAGCGTCTCGATCTGCGCCGCCCCGTCGGCGACGCGCGCCTCTGCGCCCTCTGCGCGCGCCTCCGCCTTGCCGAGCTTGTCGCCCAGCTCGCCCACCTGCCGCACGTGCGACGCGTACAGCAGCTGGTGCGCCTCGGCCACGCGCTTGTACGAGGCCGCGTAGCCGCTAAGCTCGCGCCCCATCTCCTCCGCCTCGGCCTCGCGCTGCGCAAGCATGGCGCGCGCCTCGAGCAGCTGCGCGCTCACGGCGGCGAGCAGCAGCTCCGCCGGCTCCTCGGACTGCGCGAGCTGCTCGGGCAGCGCCGTCTCCGACGCAGCAGCGGCGGCGGCGGCGGAGGACGCAGGCGCAGAGGCAGCCGAAGGCGCGGGCAGGGGCGGAGGGGCCGGCTGCCCCGCGATGCTCTGCCCCTGCGCCGCGAGCCCGAAGCGCGAGCGCTTGGCCTCCGCCTCCGCGCGGCTGGCCGCCGCCCCGCCCGATGGCGCGGGAGAGAGCACCGTCTTCTTGAGGCGGGTCGGAGAGATGGAGGCGTCTCGCTTGGCGCCCGTCAGCTCGCTCACAGACTGAGGGCGGACGGCCGACACGGGCGGCGGCCGCCGCCGCCCACCCGCCACCGCGGCCGCCTGCGCGGCGGTGGCGGCGTCGGGCGGCGGCGGCGGCGGCGCGGCGTCGATCTCGTTGAGCCGAGTCGCGAGGCGGGAGGAGAGGGCGGCGGCGGTCGCCGCAGCCTTGGCCGACGCCTCGGTCGACGCGGAAGGCGCAACGGCCGCGGCCGCGGCGACGCGCTTCGGCGGCGCCTCTGGCGCCGCCGCCTCCCTCAGAGCCGCGGTGAGGCTGCGCAGCCCGCCGTCCGCTTCGGCGACGAGTTCGCGCAGCGCCGCCGCCTGCGCCGAGCCGCCGGTGTGCGCGGCGGTGAGCGTGGCGACGTCCGCCTCGAGCTGCTGCTTGTCGGTCACCGCAGAGACGCGCGAGCGCTCCGCCGCGCGAGCGCGAGCCTCGGCCGCCTGCAGCTCCGCCGCCGCCGCCGCCAGGTCGGCCTGCAGGGCCGCGGCGTGCTGCCGCAGCGCGGCGGGGTCGGCGATGGCGTCGAGGTCGGCGGCGGCGGCGGCCTCGGCGGCGCGGCTGGCGGGCGGCGGGTGGCGCGGCGGCTTGAGCAGCCGTGCGGGCCCGACCCTCGCGCCCTCGAAGTCCGGGTCCTGGTCCAGGGCGGAGGCCATCTCCTCGAGGGCGGCCAGCTTCTCGACGGGCACCTCGAGCAGGGCTGCCCGCTCGCCGCGGCCGAGCGCCTTGACGCGCAGCTGCTTCTTGAGGCGCAGCCGCTCCTCCTCGAGCTCGGAGAGCTCCTCCTCGAGGCCCATGTTGGCGGCGCGCAGCTTCTCGAGCTCGACCTGGTGCTTGAGCCGCAGCTGCGAGAGGTCGACGCCGGTGCCCGCCCCCTCCTCCACGCCCGCCTTTTGCCTCAGCCACGCAACCTCCTCGGCCAAGTCGGCCAGCTGCCCCTCGCGCGTGTTGCGCTGCGCCATCAGCGCGCGCACCTCCTCGTCGCGCGCCGCCAGCGTCCCCTTGACGCGCTCCGTCTCCTGCGCCGCCTCGCGCAGCCCGTACACGCCAACCTCGTACTCGGCCATCCGCGCGCGCAGCTCGACGATCACATCCTCGCGCTGCGCCAGCTTCTCGCCGAGCGACGCCTCGCGCGCCTTGCAGCGCGCCACCTCCGCCGCCGCCTCGCTCGCCCGCGCCTCGCACCGCTCGAGCGCGACGCGCGCCTTCGCCGCCTCCGCCCGCACCTGCTCCGCCTCCGTCTCGACCGCCGACGAGTGCCTCAGCCGCGCCTCGAGCTCGCGCCGCTCCGCCGCGTCGCCGCGCGCGGCGGTGGCGTCGGCGCGCGCCGAGGAGGCCGCCGCCTGCGCCGCCTCGAGCTGCTCCTGCACCGCGGCGAGGGCGGAGCCCTCGGCCGCCGCCTGCGCCCTCGCCTCGGCCTGCCGCAGCGCCGCGTCCTTCTCCTCGAGGGCGCGGCCACGGGAGCGGACCTCCGCCTTGAGCTGCGCGATGGCGGCGTCGTACTCGGCGGTGAGCGCCTCCTGCTCCTTCTCCTCCTCCTCGAGCTCCGCCTCGAGCTCGGCCACGCGCGACCGCTGCTCGCCCTCCGCCTTCTCCGCGGCAGAGAGCTGGTCCTCGAGCCGGTCGACGAGCCGAGAGCGCTCGGCCAGCTCCTCCTTGGCGGAGGCGGCCTCGTCCTGCGCCTCCTCCACCGCCTCGGCCAGCTCCTCCACCTCCTCCTCCCGCGCGCGAAGCTCCTCGGCGAGCCTCGCCCGCTCGCCCTCGATCGCGTTGATCTCGCGCGTCTTCTGCCGCAGCCCCTTCTTCGCCTCCCGGTTCCGCTCCTGTTCACAGCGCACGTGCGTGAAGAGGCGCACCTGCAGCCGCGGCCCGCTCCTCCTCGCGGCTGCGCTCCTCGCGCGCCACCACCGAGTCGGCCGTCGAGTCGAGCTGCAGCCGGTACTGCCGCACCTGCAGCGGGAGAGAGAGGGCCGCGCGTTCGAGGCGAGCCGACGGTGGCGAGGCGGGAGGGGGCCGCGCGCCTGCTCTTTGTACGCCCGCAGGTCCTCCTCCATCTGCCGCTTCTCGTCGCCCTCCTCGCGCGTGCGGGTGCGCAGCTTGTCGAGGTCGCGGCGCAGGTCCTCCTCCCGCTCCTCCTTGCGCGCGAGGTCCTTGAGCAGGTCCTTGTTCCTCAGCCGCACGTCGTCCAGGTCCTCCTGCAGCGCTGTGTTCTTGAGCCGCAGCTTTTGCACCGCCGCGCCGCCGCCGCCGTAGTCGCCAGAAGCCTCGCCGGCTCCGCGCGCCTCCGCCGCGTCGAGCTGCTCCTGCATCTCGGTCAGCTCCTCCCGCCGCTCTGCCAGCTCGTCCTTGAGCGTCCGCAGCTCCTCCGTCGCGTCCCGCAGCCGCCGCTCAGCGTCGCCAGAGTCGGCCGCGCGCTCGAGGCGCCGGTTGAGCCGCTTGACCTCCGCCGAGTGCACCGCCTCGGAGCCGCGCAGCGCGTACTGCGCCAGACGCAGCGCGTCAGCCACGTGTGGCTGCAGACTTGCGCCCTCCACATCAAGGGCCAGCAGCCGAGAGACTGGCGTCTCGAGCTCCTCTCCCATCGCCGCGGTGTCGCCGTCCTCGAGCGCGCGGCGAATGTCCTTTGCGTACTTGTCCAGGCGCTCCCACCCGGGTGGTGGGTCGGACGAGGAGCCCTCCGCCATGGCGGTCTTCCGCGACGACTGACCGGGACGGGGGAGGCTGCCGACCGTTGGGCGCGCCTCAATTTCGTTTTTCTTGGGCCGGCCGGGGGCAAAACTAATTCGCTCAAAATAATATTGTTCTCTCTCTCTCTCTCTCTCTCCCCCCCCCCCCCCCCGATCCCCTCTCGGCCTTCTTTAAAACGCATCTGGCAGTTTCCAGCGCAGGTCTTTGGATTTCATAAGAAAGAAAGAAAACAGGCCACCTAAAAAGAACTTTAGAAAGAAAGAAAACAGTGAAAGAAAAGAAAGAAAGAAAGAAAACAGACAACCCAAGGGAGGGATGGGAGGACGGCACGCCGCCACCACACAGGGATTTTAAGTGAAAGAAGTTCTGCGGTGTAAGCGCGCCGTAATTCTCTTTCTCACGCCGGCGCTTCCCGATGGCCGCAGAGCCGGAGCCGCCACCGCTCCCGCTCGTGAGCAACATCCTCGTCGTCGGACTCGCCACGCCCCTTGCCGAGGTTGCGGCTGGGCCCGAGGCGGCGCCGCGCTCCCAGCGGTCCTTTGCCACCACCGCCGCCGACAGAGAGCGGCTCCGGCGGGCGCGATTCGCCCCGGAGCTGTCAGCTTCGTACCCTCCGGACCGCCCGTTTGCGCCGGGCGCGGGCGTCGCCTGCTGCTTCTGCGCTCCCTCCGGGCTGCGCATCTCTGTTGGCACTGCGCCGTCCCCAAGCTTTGCCTCCTTCGTGCTAACGGACGAGGCCTACGAGCGGTCCTACGGGCACGTGCTGACGTGCCACGTCCCGCTGGCCCTCGACACACCACTGGCCCAGCCAGAGGCGCCGGACGACGCGGGCGCGTGCGGCGATGCCTCCGCGGCTGGCGAGGCGGGAGCCGGCGCCGCCGCCTCGGAGCAGGGTGCGGCCTCCTCCGAGGCGTTGAGCGCGATGACCGCCGCCGCCGCCGCCATCTCCTCCGCCGCGGAGCCGCCTCCGCTGCTCACCGTCGGAGACCTGTCTCGCGGCGCCGCGGTCTGGGCGCCGGTCGCGCTTTGTATTGTCTCGCGGAGGCACGCTCCTCTTTGCTTCAAGGCGCGCGCCTACTCCGCCCCGCCCCGCCCTTCCTCGCCACGCCCTTCCTCGCCACGCCCCTTCCTCGCCACGCCCCTTCCTCGCCACGCCCCTTCCTCGCCCCGCCCTTCCTCGCCACGCCCTTCCTCGCCACGCCCTTCCTCGCCACGCCCTTCCTCGCCACGCCCCTTCCTCGCCCCGCCTCCCAGCCGCCCAGCCGCCCCTCCCCGTGCGTCCCCTCCAGGCGGTCCTCCTCGCCGTCCACACCCTCGCCCGCGCCTCCCTCAAGCAGCCCCTCTCCCTCTCCCTCGAGACCGCCCTCTCCCACCTCGCGCTCGCCGTCCCGCTCCCGCCGCCCGGCGGACCCGCAGTCCGGTTCGTGCTCCACCCGGAGCTGACAGCGCCGCCGCGCGCCGCCGCCGAGCCCGCCGCCGAGCCAGAGTCCGGCGCCGACGACTCGCCGCTCGCCTTGCACGTCCGCGCGCCCTCCTCCTCCGAGCTGCCGAGCAGCGACTACTCTGCCGCCTCGCTGCTCGACCGCCTCCGGCCACCGCAGCTGCTCCACATCCTGCAGGCTCGCCACAGCCCCGTCACCCCGTCCACGCCCCTGCCCCTCTCCCGCCCCGCCCCTCCTACCTCTGCCCACCTCTGCCCCCCCCCCCCCCCCCCCCCGCCAGACCACGCCCACCACCCAACACCGCCGCCACGACCCCCCCGCGCCCCCGTCCCGCGCTCCAGCTGCTCGCTCTCCCTATCAATAAAGAAAGCCTCGCGCCCCTCGCCAGGTGCTCGCCCTCGAGTGGCAGCTGGTCATCGTCTCGGACGACGACGAGCGGCGGGTCGGCGCGGCGGAGCTCTTCCTCCAGTGGCTCTACCCCCTCGCGTGGACGCAGGCCTACGTGCCGACTGTCCCCGACGGGCCGTGGCTCGACTTGCTCAAGGCACCCGCCCCTCGCCCGCCCGCCCTCCGCCCGCCCTCCGCCCGCGAGCCGCGCCTTCCCTCCTCCGCCGGCAGGCGCCCTTCCCGTACATCATCGGCCTCACCTCCCGCCAGCTCGGCCAGCTCCCCACCCCGCTGCCGGAGCGGCTCTGCGTCCTCCGGCGCGCACAGAGTCGCGAGGCGGGCCCCTCCCCGCCTCCGACCCGCACGGTGACGGCACCGCCGCGTCGCCACGCAGGCTCGGCGGCGACTCTGCCCTCACCGGCGCCCGCGGCGTCTGGTCCGTCTCTGGGCCGGCCTCGCCCCTGCCGCCCCTGCCTCCGCGCGAGAATGGGGCCCTGCTCAGCTCGCTCTCCCGCCTCTGCCGGACGGCCGGCTCGCTCAAGCACGCGCTCGCCTCGGACGCGGGCGCGCACCACCACCGCCCACCCCCGCCTGCCCCGCCTGCCCCGCCCAC